GTTTTGATGTATTTATTAGAAAGGATGGGGTTTGGTACCAAATGGAGAAGGTGGATTCAGTTTTGTATCTCGACAGCTCGGTTCTCTATATTAGTGAACGGGTCTCCTGCAGGCTTTTCGCAAGTTCGAGAGGATTAAGGCAGGGGGACCCTTTATCTCCTTATCTTTTTATTATAGTCATGGAAGCTTTCAGCAGAATTATGCGAAGGGCAGAATTATTGGGATTCATTAATGGTTTTTCGGTGGGGCAAACCCCAAATCAGACCGTTACTTCCACTTGTTATTTGCAGACGACACCATTGTCTTTTGTGATGCGAGGGTGGATCAGTTGAGGTACTAGAGGTGTGTTTTGGCTTGCTTCCAGGTGGTCTCCGGGTTGAAAATTAACATCACCAAGAGTGTGATTGTTCCAATAGGGGTGGTGGATAATATGTTGGAGCTGGCAGAAATCTTGGGGCGTGGTATTGAGTCTTTCCCGCTGTTGTATTTGGGGATGCCCTTGGGTTCTTCGATGAGGAGAGTGGCAGTTTGGGATCTAGTGGTGGACCGTTTCCAAAAGAGACTATTCGGGTGGAAGAAGTAGTATTTGTCGAAAGGGGGAAAACTCACGTTGCTGAAAAGTACCCTCTCTAACCTTCCTACGCACTTTATGTCCTTATTTTTGATTCGTAAACAGTGGTCAACAGACTTAATATGATTCAAGGGAAGTTTCTATGGGGGGTGTATTGATGGGGAGTTCAAATTCCATCTAGTAAAGTGGGAGACTGTATGCACGCCCATTAAAAAAGTTGGTCTGGGTATTCGTAGTTTGGAGATGTTTAATAGAGCCTTGCTATGGAAATGGATTTGGAGATTTGGGTGTGAGAGGGCCGTTCTTTGGAGACGGATTATTGCTTGTTGTTTTGGAGAAGAAGAGGGAGGTTGGAATTCTAGAAGTGGGTCTGTATCAGAAGGTGTTGGAGTGTGGAAAAGCATTAGGAGGGGTTGGGATGAGTTTTCAAAGCGGATAAGGTTTAGAGTTAGGGATGGGCGGAATGTGAGGTTTTGGAAGGATTTATGGTGTGGGGATGTGGTACTGGCTTATAGATTTCCGTATCTATTTAGGATTGTTGATAGGGGTGCACAAAAGAACCGTGGAACCGGAACCGGAACCGGAACCGTGAGAACCGAAACCGAAATTCTGGTTCTCATGGTTCCGGTTCCGGTTCCGGTTCCTAAAATGAGGAACCGTTGAGTTTCGGTTCGGTTCCGGTCTCACGTTGATTATATATATATATATATATATATATATATATATATATATATATATTTTAGGGCAAATCATTTTAGCCGCAGCCTCCCCAATCGCCTCCATCTCTATTCTCTCGACTCTGAACTTGCCCTCTTTCTCAGATCTCTCACTCTCTCAGTCTCAGTCCTCGCCTCCTCTCAATCTCTGAGATTCTCTGCCTCTCTCCTTTGGCTCTTCACTTTGAAAGAGCAGACCCTAATTAAGCTATCTAAGCAAGCAAAAGGTAGAAGACGATGCCGAGAGTTGCGCGGGTAGGAGGTTAACCTCTCTCTCATGGAGGTCCACCCAGACATCATCGGCCTTCGTCAACAAAAATCCAATTAACGGCTCTGATTTGCCATCATCCGATTCCAGCTGGTTCACCTCCCAACTCCCTTACACATTTTCTGTCTCTTCCCAATTTCTGGATCAAATCAGAGGTCAGCCCTCTCACCTTTGTTGCTCTCTCTCTCGTCTTTCAGGTCTAGGGCTCATATATTTTTGCCTACTATGCATCTGTTCATGGCTTTAGCTTTTCTTTTCTGATCCATTTGATTGTTAGCAAGATATACAGGAAAAAAACCAAACAAACGGTTCTCATGGAACCGAACCGGTTCTACGTTTCGGTTTCGGTTCGGTTCCATACTATACGGTTCCGGTTTTGTTTTTAAGGAACCGTTGTGAACGGTTCCGGCTCCAGTTCCGACTGGAACCGTTAGGAACCGAACCGTGTGCATCCCTAATTGTTGAGAATAAGAATGCAATGATTGCTGATTATTTCCATTTTATGAATGAGCGAGTATGCTGTGACTTGAGATTTCGTAGAAGATTCAATGATTGGGAGCTGGGGGAAGTTACAGAGTTATTGGGTTTAATTTATAGCCAAGAGGTGGAGGGGGTAGGAAGGGATGAGATGTTGTGGACAAGAGGTTCTATAGGGGTGTTTGGGGTGAGGTCATTTTTCCAAAGCCTTATGAATGATATTTGTAACGATTTCCCTTGGAAGGTTGTTTGGAGGACTTCAGCACCATTGAAGGTGGCTTTTTTCACATGGTCAGTGGTTCTTGAAAGCATATTGACTCTTGACAATCTTAGGAGAAGACGGCATATTACTGTTAACTTGTGTTGCATGTGCAAAAAGGAAGGTGAATCGGTTAATCATCTCCTGATGCACTGTCAAGTGGCAGCGGATGCTTGGAGCATGGGTATGAAGGTCTTTGGGATTCATTGGGTTGTTTCAAGAACAACAAAAGGTATGCTAGAGGCCTGGCGAGGGAGACCAGTCGGTAACCGTATTAGAAAAGCTTGGAGGGTAGCACCTCTTTGTATTTGGTGGGGGTTGTGGCTCGAGCGCAATAGAAGATGTTTTGAAGGCAAAGAGGCGCCGGCTTGGGCTGTTAAATCGTCTATTCTACATTCTCTATATTTTTGGGTCTTTGGGATTAATTGTTCCTCGGTGGACGGTTTGTTAGATTTTGTCAACAACTTATTGTTGTATTGACGCCTATGGTGCCTTTGTTTTTTCTTTGTTAAGGGCTGCTCTCCCTTAGAGCTTTTTTGATATATATATGCTTTACTTAAAAAAAAAAAAAAAAAAAAGAAGAAGGTTGGAGCTTAAAGGACCTTTGGAGAACTTCCTTTGGACCTTTACAAAGAAAGGCAAGACAAATCGATATGAAATTTGAATTCAGCAAGACCAGGACCTGATTGAGTCGATGGGTTTGGGAATTCATAAAATCTACCTGACTTGCATGATTCTAATCATTTGAGGTTGATTCCATCAATTAATTCATCTGAACACTTTGGTGGAGCAATAAGAACTTGTATTTAATATTATTACAATTTTGTTTGTTTGTTTGTTTTGGGGGGGGGGGGGGGGGGGGGGGGGAGTGGGTGATTGTATCAATTGTGATCCATATCACGATTCACACAATTATGCCATCTGGTTCTCTTCAATATCAAATTCCTATAGGGTATGTAGTCACATCTTAATTTTTGTGATGAAGGAAATTAGTCGAGATGCAATGAGTAGAGAAGTTGGCAGTCACTTTCCTTTTGGATGTAAGTGCATAAACTTTTGAAACAATGGGTGTTACAATAGAATAGAAGAGGATATATTTTATGGAAGAGTGTAAAACATCTTCCATTACATCAGCTGGACTATTGCTTTTAACTAAGAAGTGGAAGATATGCATTCGTAAACCTTTAAAATAAGCATGAAAAGTAAAAAATATCTGCTTAGAATTAATGTTTGGTCCTTTATTTTGTATCAGAAATGAAATGCTGTATTAGTTTGTCGTGCTCTAAAGCACCATTTCAATTAGCCAATGTCCTTGGGACATTTTGAAGTAGCTATTTTGTAGAAGTATCCAGTGGTATGGCGTGTTATTTTTTGTGGCCAAATCTGATCGATTCTCTGGTAGTGATTGCAGTGACAAGCATAGTTGGTGAGCCATAAGCTACTAAATATATTGGTTACACTTTGTTCAGTGTGGAGAGCCAGACTGGATTATGTAATATGATGTTAAAAAGCTACTTTAAACTGTACAATTTGGCTACACGAAAGATCATGAATTAGTTGGAATTGTGAAATAGGCTGGTTAATTTTTCGCAAGATGTGTGTGTGTTACTCCTGAATGAGGTGAATTGATTGGGCCGTCTTGGGCATATATATTTGTGATGAGATGAGGCCTGATAGAGGTCATATCAAAATTTGGGATATAGAAAATGAGTTTGAGCACTGCCATGATCAGATCTCACGGTCAAAGAGATTGGGTATTATAAAAGAAGCTGATGCAGTCAAATCTTGTGACTCGAGTTCAGATCGAAATATTTCACTGTGGCTTAGGGAGAAAAGTGGTATTTTTAATGAATTGAAGTCTAGTTTTAAAAATTGTCTTTCCAAAGTCTTTGGATCAACTAACGATTTTGACCATGAGCGAAAGTCTAGTGAGAATGCCAACACTAGTGCGAGAAAAATGTAGATCTCCATGTTTTACGGTCCTGAAAACTTCTACATAACCAATAAGCAGTGGTACATGGACTACACAGAATGTCTAACACCTCCATCTAGTGCCAAATTCCTTCTTTCTATCTTTCTGTATTCTTCTTGATCAATCACAACTTGCCTGATCATTTGGTTTTCAAAATCCACTTCTACTACCATGCTGTTTTAGTTATGTTTCTTTACAACGCATTCTTTAGCAATAAAAAGGAATAATTTTAATCTAACCAGAACTTCCTTATTTTGGCATTTTCAACAGAAGATTGGAGCCCTAGGGTTCATGCCTCGTCTGTGATTGAACCTTGCATCAAAACTTGAATTTTAAAGGTTTTTTCTGTTTAGGATACGAGGAACATCTATATTACAAGACTTGAACCCAATCACCCATTACCTTTTCATCCTCATATCAGTCGTACCAACAGAACTATCCTATTGATACCACACATAGTTTTAAGGGAGCTCCTAATGGTCCTCCTTTTATTTTTCTTAACCATTGATTTTCATCATTTTATGTTCTGAAGTCCCTCTTTTATTTTTTATTGATTTTCATCATTTTATGTTCTGAAGTCCCTCTTTTATTTTTTTACTGATTTTCATCATTTTATGTTCTGAAGTCCCTCTCATAATTTTTTATTTTATTTTATTTATTGCCCTACTTATTTTGTAATTTACCAGCAGTGAAGGTGATTTAGATTCTAAGCGTGCTCATAATGATATTTTATATAGGTCCTCAAAAAGGCGGATATGATCCGTAAGAATGCTGTTGAGAGTATTTTGGCAGAACGTGATATTTTAATAACAGTTCGCAATCCTTTTGTGGTGAGCAGGTCTAGCTAGGCAAATCATATTACCTTACCTTGTGCAATAATTATCTCATCTAACTTTTCTGTCAATTCGTCAGGTTCGTTTTTTTTACTCATTCACTTGTCGTGAGAATTTGTATCTTGTGATGGAGTACTTGAATGGAGGAGATCTATATTCATTGTTGAGAAATCTAGGCTGCTTAGATGAAGATGTTGCTCGTGTCTATATAGCAGAAGTTGTAAGTTGTATTTGTTCTTCGGAAGCAGTTTCACTTCTTAATTATAATAATTATTTTAACATGATATTAAATTGTGGGCAGGTGCTCGCTTTGGAATATTTACACTCACTCCGTGTGGTTCATCGTGATTTAAAGCCTGACAATTTGTTGATTGCACATGATGGTCATATTAAGGTAAAATTCCCCTTTTAGTCCCTTTCTTTTTAATTTGGATGGATGGAGTTCCACTTTCTCTCATAAACAGGTTATTTTGTTGTTATGTGGGGCATGACCTCCTAAAGTGGATTTATAACCGCTCTTAATCCTGTTTTCTATGGGATTTAGGCTGCCAAGATGCATGAATATTAAATTTTAAATTTCATTGTTACAAGTTCTATTGAGATGAGAAGAAACCACAAAGAAAACTACAAATGGTGTTGTGTCAGAATGTGGAGTGGTACAATTATCAAATTATGCATTAGAAATTGTTTTCTCTTAATTGGCTGGCTCTATCTACATCACCAGCTTCAGATTTTGATTTTCTCAGGATCATTGGAGGCACTCACCTGTGCCTTAAACACCATATTGGCAACCAATGACATTAAACTTGAGTAATCATGGTAGATGTTACGGGTGTGGTGGTCACTTGAACAAACTTATATGACATCTGTAGTCATAATATGCCTTTCTAAACAGGCTCATCTTCCTTTTATTTATTGCAGCATTGTATATAGTGTGAGTAATTTGAATAAATGTATATTTTTTGCTCAAATTTTACTTTTTTGGGGAAAAAAGGAAAATTATGAATGATGATTTCCTTATTGCATTTGAATTTTGTCAAATTGTAACTAGAAACTTGGTTCTGTTGCACTGGCTCTGCTGCTTGTTCAGGCCATCTTAACTGTCCATCCATTTCACTACTATATTCTTATCTAGGTCAGCATGGCAACAGCGTGTATTGGTAATTAGTTCCTTGATTCATTTGTTCTTTTGTTATCTTAAGTTCAGATGGTGTGCTGTTTGTGTTTTATCATATTGCATTTGGCCATACGAATACTTTCTCCCCATAACACATTTGTATTCCTTTTGTTTTGATATGCACTTTTTTTTTGGATTCAATTGATAGTTTTGGCTTCTTGGGGTGTCTTTTTCAATCGCTTTCTCATTCATACACATTTACTTGCAGTGGTTGTCAAAACAGCTCAAGGTTGTTGTCTGATATGTCATATATTTACGCACTTTTTTCTGTTAACCTCTTTTGTTTTAATTCTACCCATTCTGGACATATTTCATGCGCATATTTACTTAACTTGGCAGATCATTATATTTATGGTCTGTTCCTATTTGAGTCATGTCTTTGTAAATTCTTTCTGTGACCAGTTGACAGATTTTGGGCTCTCAAAGGTTGGACTCATTAACAGCACTGATGATTTATCTGGTCCAGCTGTTAGTGGGACATCACTGATGGGAGAAGATGAACCTCAGCTATCATTATCTGAGCATCAGAGAGAAAGACGGAAGAAACGTTCTGCTGTTGGTACACCCGACTATTTGGCACCCGAGATTCTTTTAGGAACAGGACATGGTCTGTATTGCTTTCTTCTCTTATCATTGTGCTCTATTCATGTCTTCATCAGTGTTACTAATCTTAAGTTTAAAATAAAGTTTTGAAAACCTTGAAAGGAAATCTTTTCTTGAAGCATAAGAAAGACTCATCCAAAATTTTGATTATGGATGCAAATGTTAGTTGTTCAATGCTGCTGTTGATGTTATTGCATGTTCTCAAGTTCATGAAACTAATATGTTGTTAAAAGCCATGATGGCTCTCAGTTACAGCAGTCTTATATTTTACTCGATGAGATTATGCCTTCATCTTACTTTATAGTGGGAGAACTTACCATTTTGACTGTTATTAGCCTTCAATCTAAAATAAAGTTTTAAAAGACTTGAAGAGAAATCTGTTTCTTGAAGCATAAGAAAGATTAATCTAAAATATTGATTACAGATACAAATATTTGTTGTTCATTATTGCTGTTGCTGATGTGTTGTGGGTTCAAGTTCATGGAACTAATTTGTTTTTAATTGAAAACCACGAGGGCTCTCAGTTACACTAGTCTCTTGTATTTAACTTTGATTAGATTGTGCTGTCATCTATAAATAGTGTGAATACTTACCATGTAGTGTTGTACACTTTCTTCAGGCACAACTGCGGATTGGTGGTCTGTTGGTGTTATTCTTTTTGAACTAATTGTTGGCATTCCACCTTTCAATGCCGAGCATCCTCAGGTAATTAATCTATTTATGAATTCGTACATGGTTTCATTTTTTCTCCTCTCACTGTGCTTAAATTATTTGCTATGAACCCTCACTCAGGGGAAATTATTATAATTTGTCCTCCTATTTAAATTACTTCGACGAGCTTCCAATTGATGTTTTAGGGCTCAGTATTTTTCAAGCAAGATGTTAGAAGGTTGTTTTTTACTAAGAAGTACAAACAGGGGCGATATACGTTACATATGCTTTGACACGACAAATTCTAAAAGAGCTGGATGCAGATACTGTGATCACACATCGTGATTGGCTTATATATACATTAATATCTCATAAAAGAAAATATAAATGTGATTAATGGTGAACTATCTTATAATTACATAATGTGGAAATGATGTTCCACAAAGATCATCTACAATGCATAATTATATTGTATATACTGCTTATGTTGTTTTACAGTGTCTCTTTTGTACAAGTCAGTCGAAAAGAGTGTTACACCAAATCCATTGTAGAAGAAATAGGCACGTTCAGTTGTGATCTTTGCTTGTAGGTCATGGCTCTCTTTTAGTTGTGATCTAGGAAGCATGGATACGGACACGGGACACGAGTACGACACAATGAGGATATGGTGGTACGCCAAATCTAAAAAAAAATAGGACACAGATATGGCACGATATGCCAAAAATATCAATATAATATATTGTTACATATTAAAAAATAGTTTTTGCTTATTTGGTCCACATTATCATGAATGAAATCTCTTGGAGTTTAGAGTTTGATGCTTGTTGATTTTATTTTCCAAAATTTTATGTTATTCTTCTAATTAACCCGTAATATATTTTAAAATTGCATTGGAATCACATTATTACAAAATTACCTCGTCGTGTCCGTGTTGTACTCCTAACATGTCCATGTCGTGTTCAATCAGAACAAATAATTTCAAATTCCATGACACTTTTAGCCATGTCCAAATTGGCCAAGTCAAATTATGGAATTTATTTATATTCATGGAGATATCCAAGAACTATTGCACTTTTGTATGTGAGTGTTCAAGTGGTGTTAGTGTCTCTATTGGGCACAAACATGGCTTGTTTGTAGGATCCTCCTTTTTTTTTTGAAAGGTAGGATCCTCCTTATTGTCGAGTATTCTAGAATCCTCCTTATTTCTATTACAATGCCTCTTGATACTAAAAATATATTTTGGGATTGTCAGTGCACTTTTGTTGAGAATGTTTATCGTTAGTTTGATTTAGCTAACTTTTGATTTCTGTAATCTTATTTATTTATTTTTTTTCTGTTTCTTTTTTTTTTTTTTTTTTTTTTTGGTTTTTGCTTTTAGACAATATTTGATAATATTCTCAACCGAAATATACCGTGGCCCGGTGTGTCCGAAGAAATGAGCCCTGAAGCACAAGATCTGATAGATCGGTAAGAGAAGCATAGTGATTTTTTATTTTGGTTAGGTGTATGTTTTAGAAAGATTTTTGGTTGTGCTGCGGTTCATATAATTGATAATTGAACTATACTGGTCCATATAGTTTCTTTTATGTTTCAAGGACAACTTAGTTCTTTCAGTTGATATTAATTGTCATTTCCAATCTCACGTTTTCTAATCATCAATACTCTCTGTTAATTTATGTAAATCTGCTCTGAAAAACCCATCATCCTGACTGAAAAGAATTTATGTGTCTATAATTAAGTGCATTAACATTTTAGCCTGTAAGCTTTGATATAGCAGTTGTCTTTGTAGCTTTTGGAGATCTCCACTGGCATTGCTTTTTGTTCCTAATGTTTTATAATTTGATCCAGTATATATATATATATTTTCTGGAATACCTTATTATGTACCTTTTGAGTTAAGGAAGCGTGGGACTTGTGAAAACCAATGGGGCACTGAAATTGAATTTTTTTTTTTTTCTCTTGATAAGTTTCAAGTATGTTACGGAAGTTACTGCATGTCATGACTCGAACCGGATAACTTAATTCAAATTTAGTAGGTTTATTCATTACAATTCCTCATGTGAGTGATTTATATCTGAGCAGGAGAAATCTTATGACAGTCTTCAATTTTTTGTGATAGAAATTGGGCATTTGGTGATATGATAAAATTTCATTCTCCTATTTATTTAGTTTTCTCTATTTTCCTTTTGTGGGCAACATTTGGACCTAAGACCTATCTGAATCAGCACCATACCTTTACTGCTTTACCACCGAGCTAAGGTCTAGGCATCTTCATTCTGGTTTGTATCTATGCATATTCTAGTTGGCTAACGGTATGTTGTTATTTTTTCACCTCCCGAGATGTCTTATGTTGCCAAATTGAGCATTTTATTACTCGGGTCAGTCGAGTTCCTGGAAAATTAGAGATGCCTTTGTTTTAAAACTTAAGTGCACAGAAGATACTATTGTCGGGTGTTTTAAAAAAAATACTAGTGGATCTAATGAATTGTTCCAATTACTGTAATTTACAACAATCAGTTTTGACCCAAAAATGACTTCAAGTACCTATCAATTTATTCTCACGAAAATGCACTACTAAAAAAGAAAATCCTTATTTTGGACGGTGCATAGGTCGTGGCGGGACATTTTTTGGCTTTGTATTAGCACTTTGACATTTCCATTGATATGTTTATAAAATTACGGGTGACACAGCTTAATTGTTCAGTTGTTCTGGACATCGTGTTTAATGGTGAGTGCTAGGAAGGGCAAATTGCTAAATCGTCAAATTTTGTCCTTCTGTAAATAGGGGTTCTTTTGTTACTTACAATCATTACAAAAAGGTGTGCAATGTAATGTGAAAACACTGAGGGAGCTCCTGGAATTAGCCCCAACTTCATGGGAATTCGGTGTATTTCCTCCTTAAACGAGGAGATTAAAGTGAGATCTGTAAACTGCAGCATGAACTTGAGTCTCCATTCTGGAACTTCGACGTCTTACTAGCACTCTTTGCTACATTAAGATTTTATATATTAGAACACCAGAAGATATAAACAACACACTAGAATTTATGTCAAAAATTTCTGTGAAAAAGTTATCAGGTGGTATAGATGAATATGTGTCAACTAAGAATAAAGCATGCATTGCAAAATTGTCAACAGTGGTCTCCCTAGTCCCTACAATATGTTTCGGTAACACTGATGGTATATTCACATTCCAGGTTATTGACAGAAGATCCTAATCAGAGACTTGGAGCTAGAGGAGCATCAGAGGTGATCGTGGTTTTTTATCCATAGCAAATCTCTCTCTCCTTGTTTCTCTGTTTAATTTTTTATTAGCGGATTTAATTCGAAACGAAACTTATTGTCCAGGTGAAGCAGCATCCGTTTTTTAGAGATATTAACTGGGATACACTTGCGAGGCAGAAGGTGCAACTGTCTCTTATACTAATCATAATCATTGAAATACAAAAATGCCATTTCATGACTTATTAGTGGTGTTTTGTCAATTTTCCCAGGCTGCATTTGTTCCTGCCTCAGAAAGTGCCCTTGACACCAGTTACTTTACAAGTCGCTACTCATGGAATACTTCCGATGAGCACTTCTATGCACCCAGTGAATTTGAGGATTCCAGTGACAGTGGTAGCATAAGTGGTAGCAGTAGTTGCCTAAGCAACCGTCATGATGAAGTGGTAACTTTATTTGAAAACAATTCAGACATAAAATGATGAGAATAACATTTTGGACATTTATTTATAATTTGTCTTGACTTCATTTCGCATGTCAATGATGAACAGGGAGATGAATGTGGAGGTCTTACTGAGTTCGAGTCTGGTTCTTCTGTCAACTACTCCTTTAGTAATTTCTCATTTAAGGTACTTCTGTACCTAATCGGCTGCATATCAAGTATAGCTTTATGTCCTAGTTGACTGTTGAAGGTTCTCTTCTCATTCTTCTTCAGCATGGGCAATAGGATTTCTCTTTCCCCTTTGTCAGTGTTGTTGTTGCCTATTTCAGAACTAGAAAATTTAGGAACTTGCCTGTTTTGATAAACTCAGCAGCATTATCGGATTAATCGATGTTGTTGCTGTCATTGTTGTTACAAGTCCTTTTTATAGTTCTTGTCGTGTCATTTAATATTTAACAGAAAATTTGCAGTTCTATAGCTATTCTTAGTGAGTTGGTCTATAATATATCAATTAAGTAGCAACAAAGTAAAGATAGGAAACACTGTCTGGTATAACTTGCCCCCCTATGGTAGGTTATAAAAATTTGTATTATATGTCTATTTTAAGTGGAATGTGTTCTTTTCGTTTATATTTTTAGTTCAGAAATTTTCTTCTCAATTTTTTAATTCATGTGGCTTTCTAACTGACACTTTTATGCTTGTCAGAATCTCTCCCAACTTGCATCAATCAATTATGATTTGCTTACTAAAGGTTGGAAGGACGATCCGCCTGCCAACCCATAATGCATAGCCACCAAGCTTGCCGTCAAAATGCAGGATTGGATTCCGAAATCATTTGGTGTTGTTTGTACACCCTGTAAATGTAGGTTACTGTTTATTTCTTAGATTATTAATGCATCATTTTGCCAGAAAGTAAAATTTTGCTTCGGTCGTTGCTCTTGCAGAGATAGAAGCAGCTTGAGAACAAAACTGGCCGGGGATGTGCTCTTTTCTCATACAGGCAACAGCTCCACACTATATGGGGTTCCAAATTTTATGATTGTGTTGTTTATTTTGGTTTGAGGACCTTAACGTATCTTAATTTACATGCCGTAGTGTGGGTTTGCAGTCTTTGGCCTTTAGTTGTACACTGAGTTCTCCTTGGTCCTCATAAATGAGAACACATCCCTTCAGATTTCCAGGTTCTCAGCACTTGTTGATTGCATTGCATGCCTTGTCCAAAGTGTATTTGTGAAACGCCCCATCAACTGTTGGTAGATAAGTACCCCGATTTCAGAAATGAGAGGACAGTGGTAATCGCATCAGTTTGGGAATCAAAGCATTCTGAAAATAACTATGGCTCAAATCCCATCCCTACGAAAAAGCTTGAGAGAACCTGTCTGAAAAATGGCATCCCGTGCCTTGTACGGAGGGAGAATGGGTGTGTTTGGCAAAGCTGACCAGAGGAGTTATTTATCGTTGAAAATTTTGGTTTTTAGAGTTTAGGATCTAAATAATAGGATCTAAACAAGCATTGTAAATGATTCAGGAAAATATGCCTGTCTCTCTCTCCTAAACCCGTTCAGCAATTCTGGGAATCCTCTTAAGTTGGCATAACTTAATTCGTGCATAGAAATGGACCCCTGAATTTATCTTTGATCATTTTACCAAGTTAAACTTTACCAAATTGCCTCCAAATGATGAAGTTCACCCTAAATTTGGCATTTTGCTTCTGCCTGGAAGCGCACTGAAATGTTTGCCCAAATCAATTATGTGTCTGTATCTATATATATTCTGTAAATGTGTATATATAATTTTAAATTTTGGGTTAATTTTAGTGACAATCCCTTAGGTTCACACAAATATTTTTCGAAAAATACTATCACTTATACTACAAACGTTTGTTCCGTTTTTCACTCACAGTCAAATGTAAAGATTTGACATCATATGAAATGACTTAAATATCCTTTTGACTTTTTTAAAAAGCTCTTTAACTTAAAGAATTAAATTAAAAGACTAAATTATCCCTAAATATCTTGCAAATTTACAATTATATAATTTTTAAATATGTATGTACAGAGTATATGAATATATATATGGGAAAAGCTATAGTACAGAAATATCCTCACTAAAATCTGCCACCTCATAAAAAACATGGGCATTTTCGCAACCTAAACATCTCTTAACTTCTCACGCGCATCTCTCTCTTTCCTTCACATGGTCTGCCAACCCTAAAGAAACTAGCTATCGCCATGCGCAGACAACACCGTCGGTGAAGGCCATGAAAACTACGGCTAAAGGAGATGTTGAATCTGAATCTCTCAATCAATCTTGGAACAATTAAGGACTTCAAAGGCGTGCTGAAGCAGAGAATTACAAACCAATACTTCGTTTGACCAAACACATAAAAATATATATATAAATATTTTGTTCAATACTGCACTTCAAAAGAATTGTCTAAAAAATCTTGATCACAGAAATTGCCCTAATTCTGTGTTAAAAATGGGATTTGGTAATTAATGTTTGGACAATGTCAATCACAGCCTTTGAGAGCCAAAAAAAAAAAAAAAAACTCCTACTAGATGCTCAGGAATTTATTTATTTATAATTCGAGTAAGTTTAGAACACATCATCGATCCAATGTTTTGGCAAGACCGGAAGTTCTTATTTATAATTCGCGTTACAGGTAACATGTTACATGTTGAACCCCTCAACCCAAACTCGACACGGTTAAGTAAACGAGTTAATCGTGTCGACCATTTTATGACCCAAACTCGTTTATACCAAACCCAAATCCTTTTAACTCGTGTCGTGTTATAATTTGTCACCCCTAATGTACATATTGGTATATTTTATAGAGAGTAGCTATATATTTTAGAAAGAGAAATTAATGAGGGTAACTTTGTCTTTTAAAATTAATGATATATTGTCTTAAAATGTATTTTAAAAATGAGGGTAATATTATTTTTTCGCATGTTTTTAACGGTGTTATTGACGAAAAAGTAAAATTGGAACCAAGTGATAATAATTTTCCAAAGATGTTTGAGTGTGATATTTGGTCAAACTTAAATAATGTCAGTGAAATTAACTTTTATATTTTATATACGTTTTTAACTCAAATTTTATTTTTAATGGAAGATGCTAGAGAGCCAAATAAACATAACAACACGTAGGCGAGATGCTAGTCGGTAGTGCGTGTATTGTTCGGGGCCTTGGTTCATGTTCGAAACTCACTAGCATCATTTTTCCTCCTCCTTTAACATTGCTATGTCAAAATAATAATATTAAATAAAAAAAACGTAAAAACACTATGTTAAGAGATGGATGATGAATGAGACATCCTTGGGGACATGATAGTGTACTACTTTCTTTTTATTTGGAAGAGAAGGGAAGAATGTTTACTTTTACTAATGCCGAGTTTATCAACTTTTTAATAATTATAAAGAATAGTATTGTAATTTAAAATTTTCATAACAATCTTGCTCTCTTTCTTCCTATCTTCTGAGGATGATGCATCATCTTTTCTCTTCCTTTCTTGTCTCTTCTCTACCAAACAATGAAGTTTGTTTCTTTATATTTCTCTTTTTTAATATATCAAAAAAACCTAACTAGAAAAAAATAAAATAAATTTATTTCTCTTTTCTAAATTTTTAGAAATATGTTTATTTATAGAAATACATCACTAATATATAATTTGAAGTATAATGGAACGTGTATGGTCTGAAATTTTACTAGTTAAAACAAATTGTCATTTTCGGACAGTATTTAGCTTACTTAATAGTGAGTAAGAAATTCATGTTTACCCCTGATGTGACGCAAAAGTAATGTGATAAGTGTCCCTACAATAAAAATTAAAAAAATTGAATGCTTACCTAGTCAATTCAAAAAGATGCAAATCAAATCCTAATTTAATTCTTTCCCTTTCTTTCTTTCCCTCAAACTACTCTCGAAACCCTAATATGCTAATAGCTGAAGTTTTGAGTTTTATTTTTCGTGGTTTAATGTGTAGTCCTTATATATACTTATCAATTCTTTTTATCTAAAGTACACTCAATAAAGGACAAAAAAAAAATGCAGTAGAAAGGGCAAAAAAAAAAAAAAAAAAGGTACACTCAATTAAATAAAATCTGGTTCACTTGATTTGATAAATGATTTATTGATTGCAGTATAGATTGTTATTACTTATTTATTTTCTTCTTTTTCTTTTAGTGGAAAACAATATTTATGTCTCATTACATTCTTTCTATAACTATAACTATAGAAATTATTCTTTCTATTCATCATTCAGAGTTTTGTTTGTATCTTATAATATTATTTTATTGAAGAATTTTAGGTGAAAATGATTTTTTGATGACAAGATCAGATCCCCTTCTCATTCAATCCCTCGTGACAAAAAGAGAAAACCAAAGTAGCCTGAGAGAAAGTTAGATTTGGATCATATTAGGTTTAATCCGGATAAGCTCTCAAATCTTTTAATTTTTATTATTTTATATTATAGGGACACATGCTTCTCTAATTTTGCGCCACATGGCTCACATCGGGTAAGTATGAATTTCCTATTCACCGATTAGTTCGCAAGTGTTGTCCTTTTTTAGAGATAAGTATTGTTGATGCCTTGCAAAATAAGTTTTTTTTTTTTTTTTTTTTTTTTCAAGGCCTCGTGAAATAAGAGTTTGGATGAGAAGGATATTGTATTTTTAAAGTTAGCAATTGTGGGATTTTACTTTTCAGGCTACTCAAATACAGGGACGTGTGCTCAAGGACTAGTGGAACATTTATTACATTGATCTCCCGAGTTTTAGTAAAATTTTGTAAAATTTTTTATAGGGTGAATTGCAAAAAACTCCCTTTAACTTTCACCCGTTTGTAAAAAACCCCCTTATAAATATCTTTAGCAACTAATCCCCCTCAACTATCATGAGGGGGTCATTTTAATTAACCTCTATTAGAGTGATTGTGTGAGAAAAATTTTCGGACAAAATTACCCTTAACATGAAACATTTGTTTGAGTGATTGTGTGATAAAATTTTCAGACGAAATTACCCTTAAAATCAAAACAATACATTAGTATTACTAAAGTATCCACCACTCACTTTTTTATTATTTTTTTTTAACGGCATAAAACACTAAAACGAGACCTCTGATTTTGAAACAAGGTCTTTGATTTTTTCTTTCGAAAAGTTCTTGCAATTGGAATATATATAGTAATATGGTAGTTATTTATCAATTGTCAACTTAAATTGATTTTGGTAAAAAAAAAAAAAAAACTTGTACCATGATTTTTTTATAAACTAAGATAAAGAAATAGATATATACGAGAAATCCAAAAATATCAGTTTCTTGATTTTTTATAAAATTTAAAAGTAGAAATTTATCAAACTGTGGCAAAATTATCTCATAATTAAGAGGAAGTGGATTTTTTCATTTATATATGTGTGTGTGTGTGTGTGTGTGTGTGTGTGTGTAGCATATCAAAATTTAATTAAAAAGTATTGGGATTAAGATTTATGATGTTGAAATAAATCAAATTTTGTCATAATAAACGCTTTTTCTATAGAATAAATAAATAATTAAAGATAGTCCAAACAAATATTTTTGTTATTTAAGTGAAATATCTATTGACTATAAAAAAACAAAAAATAAAAAAACAAGTGTGAAATATGTTTTGGGGGAGGGGGGTTTTGTTTTGATATTATGGTGGATGCCACTGGATATTTTTTGGGTATGCTATATCCATAATTTTTTAAAATCTTATAAATTTCTGCTCTTAAATTTTATAAAAATAATGGTACAAGTTATTTTTTATTTTACCAAAATTAATTTAAGTTGACATTTGAAAAATAACTACCATATTACTATATATATTCCAAATGCAAGAAAATCTGGAAAGAAAAAATCAAAAGCCTCATTTCATAATAAGAGGCCTTGTTTTAGTGTTTTATGCAGTTAAAAAAATAAAAATAAAGTGAGTGGTGAGTATTTTAGTAATACTAATGATTTGTTTCAATTTTAAGGGTAATTTCGTCCGAAAATTTTATCACACAATCACTCTAACAGAGGTTAGTTAAAATGATTCCCTCATGATAGTTGAGGGGGGTTAATTGCTAAAAATATTTATAAAGGAGTTTTTTTGCAAACAGGTGAAAGTCGAGAGGGATTTTTTGCAATTCGCCCCACTCCAATTAACCATATTTTATTTTATTTTTTATTTTTCACACCAATTAACCAAATTTTATAAAATAACAATTTTGTCTTTTCCTTGGATGAAAATAAAATAAGTTAAATTACATCGACTTTCCTTGAGGTTTAAACAAATTATACGGTTCCAGTTTAATATATATTTGTAAAATAATATATTATTATAAAAATAAGGGTATTATTGACTTTTTACACTTAAAGTCACTAGCCAATCAAGAGAAAGTCAAATAACAAACGTCTAACAATTTATTAGGAAAGGTTAATATAATTTACCTTCTTATTTTTTTTGTGAAGAAAAGCATATATTTTGCCCTATCTATTTATCAGACTGAACCTTTGTCCTTTTGCTGCAGTGAAATTGCCTCGACCAAGGCTTTCAGACATGAGGTCCATCCTCGACAGAAAAAAAAAATGTTAATTTTTTGTATTATATGATCAAACTCTTGCATTCATCTTGAAATAGCTGCTCCACAACAGTTTAAAAAGTAGAAAAATAATAGAACAGAGCATAAGCCAAGAAACAACAAACCCGGTTTGGAAATTGGAAGTTTCAAACTTTGTATGTTTTTTTGGGCTCTCATTTTCTTGTTCCTCTCCTTTTAAATTTTAGTTCACGAAGAACAAACACTGTTTTCAAATTCATCAAGCTTTGGATGCCAACAAAACTTTAGCCATTGCCCAAGGACCACCACCACAAGTATCAGACAGTTTTCTCACTTTACATATAACTGACCCACCATTCATATATATGCACCATTTTTTTTGGACCACCATTGCCCTTTCATCATCATAACATGTTACACTTTTTCAGCCATCATCTATAAAAAAATCCTTATAAGTATCTTGCATTATCTCTATTTCTGAAAATTTTAAAATTTTCAGGCCCATCTTGTGTTTTGTTGCTGCAATGATTGTATCATAATTTTTTTTTTTTTTTTTAAACGTGGATAACAACTTAGCAACTTATTTTTTAGGAGTGATGATATAGAGACGACTACTTTTGTGTGAGTAAGGATTGACACCATTATCACATTACGAATATTAATCACATCATGACGATGTCAGCTCCCATTTACATAATCAATCCGACACATCCAACTTTTGAATTCTAAATCATTAATTATATGAGTTCTCGGTCATATAAATCAATCCGGACACATCTGAATCATTATCCATTTTCTAATGAGAAAAATATTTCAAGTATATCAGCTGCATTGGCTCTAAATAATAAATGATGTCAGTTCCCACTCAACTAAATCAATCCGACACATCCGAATTATTATTCATTTTCTAATTAGAAAAATATTTCCAGCATATCAGCTGCATTCTTAAACAATCACTCAAAAGTAGTGTTTGGTAACAAATTTTTGGCATTGCTTGCCATAATATATCCCAAAAGTAATAGTGTTTGGTAACAAATATTTGGCATTGCTTGCCCTAATAATTATAATATGTTATAGCAAACATAAATTTAAAAATCTTGCTGAACATTTTAACAGCAGACATACCCAAACAGTCCTTCACTTTTAAAAGTCCTACCACCACACAATCACACCCTTTAATGCCTATAACTTCCAAGTAAAAGGAGTGAATTGTTTGAGTTGGGGGCATGAATAAAGAGGATAAAGATAGCCCAACTTTAACAAGGTAGGTTGCATATCCAGATCTAACCTTGTGCAACAAATTAAGAGAAGGATGGTGGTATGATTCACATGAAGAAACATTACAACCAAAAAACTACCCACCTTCCAAGCAACTAAAACAATATCAATTTAAAAAAAAAAAAACCAAAAGTTGGTTCAAAAGCAAAAGCAAAAGCAAAAGTAAAAGCTAAAGTAATAATTACAGCAACCAAGATCCACCCAACAAGAACAAATGGAACAGATATTGACCCCCACCCAAAGTATCAGAGAGAGAAAGGAAAGGTTACTACAATGGGGAATGAGAAAATAGAACATTAAGGGTTCTTAATGGAAGAAAAATAAAGGCCAAGATTAACAAACAACAATTAACAACTGACTTTAGCAGGCTAAAGATGGGCATCATAAAATGATTATGATGATGATGCTTCTTCCTCAGTCGAATGCTGGAGCCCCTGATTGCCGAAAAGATCTGTCATCATCCTCATTGACGACAACATCCGGCTGTGGTTCTTGATCATCTCGCAAGCTAGAATGACAGAGCTCCTCAATCCGTCTCGTGACCTCATACATTGAAGGGCGCTTGTCAGGGTATTGGGCAGCACAATCTATCGCGAGCTGTAAGAGCTGAACCATCTCCTCCTCAACATTCTGGTACCTGAGGAGCTCGAGATCAAAAACCTCAGACGTCCACTCCTCGCGAACTATGGATTGTACCCATCTAGGGAGGTCGACACCTTCCTCGTTCATAAGGGCATGGGTGGGGGCCTTCCCAGTAAGCAGCTCTAAGAGCAGTACGCCGAAGCTATAGACATCAGCCTTTTGGGAAACTTTGCGAGGGTCAGTTACCTCTGGTGCACGATAACCGGCAACTCTGTTGGGTGTAGAAGATGGTCCAACAAGATGGGCTAGGCCGAAATCAGAGACTCGGGCTTCGTAGGATTTCGTCAAGAGGATATTGGATGATTTTATGTTTCCATGGGAGATATTGGGGCCATGAGAGTGAAGGTATTCGATGCCACGAGCAGCTCCTAGTGCAATGGCTGATCTGATTTCCCAATTCAGTGGAGTCCTACCAGCACCTCTGTTTCCTGTAGTGGAATATAACAGAGAAAATGACAGTAAATAGAAAACCAAACAATGAAGCCAAAAAGCAAAGTTCTCTTTCTTGTTCTTTTTTTCTTCTTTCCTCAATTGGCGTAATTGGGCTTTGTGTGCAACATGGTTGCCATGAGTAGGAAGGGACCATTTTCAACTTCATTTGTATAGTAACTCAAAGAATAGATATCATTAAATATGAATGAAACTGCAAACACAAGCCAGAACATTTACCCACAGTTATAACATGAAAACAAACTAATAAAATTAAAATTACAGGAAACTGTACCTCTTCCTAGTATATGTAAGACTAAATAACAGTATTTAGAGACCATGTCAATGCAAATAAGGTAGCTATACACTTGCAAATAAAAAGACCAATCTCATGAAAAAAAAAAAAAGAAAGAAAAGAAAATGATATTGTAAATGAAGTTCTAATCATTAAATTTTATCCTTATTGCTAATCAAGAAATTAACTATAGTGAAGCAACCATAGCAAAAAGAACTAAGAGCGGATATCCTAATGAATAAAAAAAATCAGGCAAACAGTCTCAAAGCCTTCATGTAGATGCAAAACAATGCAGAGACAACACAATAGACCATACAATCAATTCAAAGGAAGAGATAAGATCATTAGCAAAACCCATACTATGTGTCTTGCTTCAGAGAACTAATACACAAATGATAGAAAACACAAATTAAATCAGTAACAACAATTAGGAAGAAAATGCCAAACCAATCATCATACACAAGAGATGATATTTTGTAAACATTAAAGCCAGACCATCATCACATCAAAATGATTTAATTGCAAATGTAAAAAGCAAAACATTATAGCATAGAGGAGGAAAGGGTTACCATGCAAAAGTGCAGATAAGCTTCCCATGGGCATGTAATCATAGACAAGAAGCTTTTCCTCCCTGCTGAAATAGTAAGCTCTAAGAGGGACCAAATTTTTATGATCCATTGCTCCCACAGACTCAATCTTTTCCCTGAATTCTCTCTCAGAAATGATCACATCCTTCAATCTCTTCACAGCCACCACAATTCCAACCTCCAAAACCGCCTTATATGCGGTACCAAACGTCCCCTTCCCCAAAACCTCTGCTGAAGCTCTCAACAGTTCCTCCAAATCAAACAGTTTAGCTGCATTCCCAAAAAATATCAGCTTCTTAGCCCCACCACCATTGCTGCTCATCTCCCCCTTCCCATTCGCCGTCATTGCCGCCGCTGCTGCTGCAGCAACCGAAAAACCATTACCGAAACTGCCATTATCTGCTTCCACCATCGGCTTTTCCCCGCCAATCTCCATTTCCGAGTGCTTAATTGCTGCAATGTCCACCGACCTCGTCTTCTGACTGCTCCTTTTCCGGCACAGAAACAACAAAATTACAATTAGTAAGAGAAAACCCAAAACAGATCCGATCGCAATGCCCGCAATGGCACCACCAGACAACCCATTGCTCTTCTTCTTCCCGTTCCCAGTGTTGGTTTCAGTTCCATTCCCAACAGCAAGCGGTATAGACCCATTTCCGCGACAAGAATCCAATGGGCGACCGCAGAGCAAATTCCCAGCAAATGCCGTCGCCGGCATCGACTGAAGACTCTCCGGCACCGACCCTTTCAATCGGTTGAAAGACACGTTGAACTGTTCGAGATTTGGAAGTTTAAACTCGGGAATCGACCCGGAAAACTGGTTGTTTTCCAGATAAAGTGTTCCCAAGCGGGTCAGATTGTTGAACCCAGTTGAGATCTCGCCGGAGAAGTTATTTCCGGCGAGATTCAAGCGGACGAGGTCGTGGAGACCGAATATAACGTCCGGCAAGTCGCCGGAGAAATGGTTTCCCTGCAAGTAGAGGTTTCGGAGTTCCGTGCAGGAGGTGAGATCGGAGGGGAGGGTGCCGGAGAGGGAGTTGAAGCGAAGGCTGAGAGTGCGGAGGTGGGTCATATTTCCGACGGTGCCGACAGGGACCTGGCCGGAGAGAGAGACACCGGGGAGGCGGAGGGCGGTGACACGGTTGTTCTCACACTGAACACCAGCCCACTGGCATGGGCTCTGTTGGGTTGTTTTCCATAAAAGGGTGCGGCCGCCCACGGCGGCGCGGAGGGCCAAGAGGGCGGCCCTGTCGGACGCCAGATCTGAATTTCCGGTGGGTAGAGAGAGAAAAAACTTAAACAACAAGAGGAGCATTGTTAGCTGAGACTCAAACCCCATTCTCATTTCTCACCAACTGGAATTTTCCTTTTTTTGGGGTATCTGTTTTGATGGTTCTAAGAAGAGACTTTTAAGGGTTCACAGTGTCTGCATTGCTTGGCTGCACTCATTATCTCTCTCTTTCTCCACTGCTTCTCTGTTCTTGATTTTAGAGAGAGAAAGTGTGTGTGTGTGTGTGTGAGAGAGAGAGAGAGAGAGACAGATCCAGGCTGTGTTGTGAATATTAAAACCAATACCAAAACTAAAATAAACCCTACTGCTACTACTGTTCACTGTGTAGTCAACTGAATGCTACTTTCTTTTTCTTTTTCTTTTTTCTTCACTTCTCATTTACACTTTCTTAGATTTTCACACTGTTATTATTAGTGTCACTATTATTTAATGGTATGCCATGCTTCTCTCTCACTTCACTTTATTTATGTTTTTTTTTTTTCAGAAAAAAAAAAAATTACTTTATTTATACTTTCTATTATCTCACTTCTCTGTGTAAAATTACTTTGATTGTGTCTTGACTCAAAAAAAAAAAAAATTACTTTATTTATGCTTTCTATTGTCTCACTTCTCTGTGTAAAATTACTTTGACTGTGTGTTGACTCAGCCTTTCCTTTTTAGTGCCATGTATAGCAAAATTAAGACATTGTCACAACAAAATTTTCACTCTTTTTTAATGTTAATATTTTAGTTTGCTCCCATCATTTTAAAAAAGAATGGAGTGAAATTTAAAATTTTCAGCATGGCCTCTTTTAATGATGCAAGCTCATTTTATGAATTTTGTGAACCACACAAAGGTCCACAGATTATTGATTAGGAAAAGGATTAAAAAAAAAAAAGAAATTTATGAAGTTAAAGCCAATTTAACCTACTGGTTCACTAGATAAGGGATCTATTGTGATGAATCATAAATTTAAACATCTTAGGTTTAATTTTTTTTTATAAAAAAATTAAATTTAAATAATATGAGTTGTTTGAAAGTAATTGAGGATATATAAAATTTAGGTGGAAGTTATCAAAGTGTGAGTTGATTTTTACTGACTTTAATAATGGTGAGGTTGAGCATGCATTTTGACACGTGTAAATATCTGTGGTGTCTTTCTCTCTCTAAAACATAATCATGGTACTCTGTAACTCCAAGTGGGGGATGCCTGAACAACTCAGTCCACAGCCATTAACAAAAAGGAATTGTTGCATTTCCAACTTAGCATAATGAGCCTTTTGCCATAGAATAATACTATTACTAGTACAAGTTGTGTTGTGTCCATCATTTTTAATCACATATTAAAGGACATGTATTAACTCATTCATTAATTAATTCATTTTAGGGCTTTCTTCCTGTCTTTCTTTTTTCTTTTTTTTTCAACTTCAATATTAGTTGGTTCTTTTCATTCTTGACATTTTGAAACATAAATCTAAATACAAAAAATTATGATTTTTAGTCCAAAAGAGTAGTGATATAGTATAATTTAATAATCGAACAAATTCGACTAGTTTTATATGAATAATACGTCAAGAACATTAATGATTCATACTCTAACTACATAAATCAGTTGAAATTTTTTAATTTTCAGACTCTAAATCATTAAAAATTACAATAACCAACCATCATCAATTATAAGAATTAAAGTTGGAGCCATCAAATTTGAAAATATAATTTAAATTGAAAAGTGATAGTCTCATTAAAAAAATTGAACTCATTTGTTTGTTTGTTTTTTTTTTTTGTCTGTATTTTGGAAATCATAAAACTAGTGGAGTAATATTCAATTCTCAAATTGAGAATAATCAATTTAATCAAATAATATTAAATATTAATCTTTTTTTTTAATCTTCACTTTATTTTTCTGTTTCAGTGTTGAAAAATTTTATTTGTATAATAATAGGAGTGGCCAAAATTGTGAAGCTGTTACAATCAGGAATAGCGAAGTCGTCGGTCCATTAATACATACACCAACAAATAGAGATAGAGATAGAGAGAGGGAGAGAGAGAAGAAGCGTCAACCTCAAAGGTTTGTATTAGATATAGAAGGTGGTTGATAGAGTAGCATCTTTTATTGTTTGATTTGTGACCAAATTAAAAGGCTATCCAATTAATTCGACATATATTGTGTGTGAACTATCCAAGTTAATAATCAAATCGTAAGTGCTATATCTATATTTATATATATACACATACATGTATATATATGTATATAATATAGTAGTAAGAAAGAAAGTAATTAATGAGACAGGTATTAGGTGAGAATTTTGAAGGGACTTCCTTGAAAGCATGACAATATAAATAGATTTGCCAACTAAATCCTACGTTTATTTAATTCACCAAATTAGCTGTTTCTTTTCTAATTGTCGGCTGTCTTTAATCTCTCTCTCTGCTAAAGTAGTGTGACACACAAGACTGATAATGTAACTGCCCTTATAATTCTTAAAATTTAAGGTTAAACTCAACGAATTTTATATTTTGAATTTTTAGTATTTGAATAGGAAAGAATTCCCTCTTGGAATCATTCCGGAAATTTATTTTTTAAATTGTCTGGTGCAAGATGGAATAATCGGTGACAATTTGTGTTCACGGTATCGTGTCAATTTACAGGTATTCTACTAAACAGCTCAATTTGAACACGACCAATTTAATAATCGTGTCAAGAACCCTCAACACTAACCCGACTTGTTTATTAAACGGGTTATACATAACCTTTAGAGACCTGTTTAATAAAATCAAATATTTTATTATTTAAATTATTAATAATACTCGATCAAACATTAAATACTAAAAAAATATAATTTTCAATCCAATCAAATTACTAAATAATCTCTAATCTACAAAAGAATAAATTATAAGATACAAGTTTAGATAGTTATTTTAGAACTTAAATAAAAATTTGCTTATGACACGTATTAGTTAAATAGGGTATAAACAAATTATATGGGTTGAACTTATCAACCCAAACACGACACGATTAGCTAAACGGGTTAATCATGTCGACCCATTTATGATTCGATCCCGGTTAAGGTCAATTCAAAACCGATTAACTCGTGTCGTGTTTGAGTAATGTTGGCCGATCGTGTCAAACTTTGCTACATCTAGAATGGACCCAACAGACTATATTTCTCTTCAATTAAAACATTGGCCACATTATTCACAAATTTGGTCTGATTAGGTTGCATTCAGTAAAAATTACAAATTTTCAAATTTTGACTAGAAGTGAAAATTTCAAAATCAGGAAACTTTGGTTCAAACTGCATTTTTTAATTAGCCCAAAATAAAAACATGAATGAAGAAATCTCTTAAAAGTTAAAACCTTTGACTTGAGGGTCCTGATTAGGTGACCCATGTTACCCACACGAGCCACTTCTATTTACCACCAAGTCATCATCAATACAGGTTCACCTCATAAATTCCTCCAATCTTTCTCTCAATTCTTGTCTCTCTTTATAGAATTAATTTGGTATAAGTATAAGTTTGTGAGCATTGATAAGGTCACTATCCCATGTTTTTTCAATGCTCTTTTTCTTATTGTGTTTTTTTCTTGCAGAAAACAATGGACTCGCATTTGTCAAACACGAAAACAATTGAGTGTTGTCAAGAAAAACAAACCCACTATTTGGTGTCGTGGTTCGTCTTTTACTAAACCCTTAAAAGTACCTACTTTTTGATTGCTTCACATTGTTGGAATTGATTCCAATTCTATTTTGTAATTATGGGGTTATTAGGCAAGCCCTATCACAACTTTTTCTCCACAGGTGTTTAGGACCTTACTTTTTCTCCATTATTATACATAATCTTATATTCACTTTTCTTTTCTTTTTTCTTTTCTTATTGAAAAAAGAAATGAAAATGGCAAAAGAAATTAGGATTTAAGTTGCAAGTCAACGCATCCAAAAAGTTTTGTTTTGTCGGTTATCTTTACCTTAATTCCATATGAATAAAAACACAGACATTCTTTCTAAAATAATTTTTTAAAGATTAGTTTTAATTATTTCATTCCATATTAATTTTGCCCGGTCTTCTTTGCCTTTTACATTCTATGCAAATTTCATATATATATCTGATACATGTAAAATAGACATACATATAAACACAGAGAGAGAGAGAGAGAGAGAGAAGCAGTAGCTATTCCTGTTCAATTCTAGAGCGTTGCTTGATTACTAACCAGCAACCACCACTAATTATTTCCTCTAATCTTACTTCAAAGAAATAATGTTCTTTTCTGTATAAAGAAATGCTAATATAAGGTTCAAAGGGCACTTGTAGAAAAATACCAGTTTTTTTTTTTTTTTTTTTTTTTTTTTTTTTTTTTTTTTTTTGAGCAGGTCTAAATGTTGGCTATGTTTGTTTTGATGTAAAATAATTTTCAATAAATATTTTTTTATTTGCGAGTGTTTGATTGTCACAAAATACTTACGAAAAAAAAATTCAGTGTTTGATTGTTGACCTAAACTTTTGCCAAACACCGAACAATTAAAAATAAAAAATACTCAGTTTATTTTACCTAAAAATAGAAAAATCTTTTCCAAAAAAAAATATTTTAGAAACATACACGGCCTAAATGTTCTGCTCCAGTGCTCCTTGTGTATTAATATTATGAGTTAAGTGTGCCATCAACATATTACATCCCCAACCTGTAACCGTTATCAGTTCAAACAATCAATGCTACAAATTCAAGTACAACGACATACATTACAATCAATGCTATAACTGTATGGCCTTTCAAACTACAAACTGATGCCTATAAACAGTTAAATGGTATAGTTATTACAGCAATCTTTCCAGTGTCATATAAGGTCTCCTATTTGTCTTAATCTCAAGGTCATGAAACTTTCAAAGAGCAAAATACATGTGAAACAATCTTTCAAATAATCACATAAAATTTTAGTCCTACAAAAACTATTATATTCTTTTCTGATCTTGAAAGGAAGGATGCAGACAAAACTGATGATACACATCCATTCCCAGTATCTCTATAGCAGGCAGGGAACGACATGCTAAAGCCGCTAACGTCATTTTCTAAATTGTTTTACGGGAACGAGGGTCATGTTCTATCTGTTGATTATGTTGCAGTAATGTGCAGGATCTAGTAGTGTTACGCAGGAAGGTAAATATACATGTTATAATGAAAATAGTAGAAACAGAAATCACAAATGTGGAATGTGGTCTGCTACATCTACACAGCATCGGCGTCTCCATGCTAACCGATGCGAATCTCTTTCCAGATTGCGTTCCTCTGTGAATTGGACAACAATTAGAAAGGCTGACGCAAAGTAAATTATGCATGCATGTGTTATAAAGGAAAAAGAAATTTTGGATAAGTGGGAATTGCTTATATCTGATTTGGACACGTGAATCAATTATTCAAAATGCTTGATCTATGGCCATGCTTCGACTTTCATTCTAATCAGAAGAAACCCAATGTTTGCTAAAATGACGAGACCTTCTACGACCCCTCTGTAAACATAAGTGCGACAGACCTAACCATCGCTGTAGGAACTGGTGGAGGCCAAATTCGGTACAATTTTCAATCCCCGAAAATACGATATAGATTCATAATATATATGACCCAAATTTAATGACTACGCATGCAGTTGAATACGGAGTTGTAAAAGAAAAACATATGATTTTAGCTTTACCCATAAACAGAAATATCCATCTCGTTGTATCCCATATCTTAAGAATCCACCAACAGATCATAAACTACTTAAGAGTTCATTCATAAGAATAACATTTTCATCCATCAAATTAACAAAGTGTCTGAACTTATTTGGCTGAACATACTCATCTCAACTCAATAAAATCCTAAGAGTGAAATGCTAACTAGTAACTACATGGCGTTGATTAATAAATTTTAAAAGAAGTGTCTATACATGAATGACCAAGAAAATGAACGCTCACTGGCACAGCACACTCCATAGCTTCGAACCTTATAAAGAGAAGCCCTTACATATTCCCACTTCACACTTCACAGATCTAGGCTCATATGCCATTATTTTCGATTAGTAATATGGTTCGTTATAATCTATGTTTTCATAAATTGGTTAATCATTCAACATCTGCACATTTTTCAGTTCACTGTCAACTATTTTTACCCTAATTGTGAAATCAGCCTAAAAACATTGAAAAAATGTCAATAAACATAATAAAATGAGGAATGGCCATGAATGCTTGTCTTCCAAATATAAAATTCACATGAAAATGAATTTGAAAAACAGAAAGAAAAAAGGTGTTGAACTGCAATAAAAGCAGTAGCATAAAATATACCCCAAGAAATCCTTGATTGGATTCCACAAAGATGCAACATGTTTGCTCCAATGGCTTGAAGCATTTCTTATCTCCTGCTCACCAAAGTCACCTTTAGATGTCCCTAGTAAAAGAAGAGAAAAAACAGAGAAAACAATCAAAAGAACATAAATAATTGCTTCAGAAAATCAATTTAAATGAAAAAAAACATCTTTCCTAATTTAATCATATTATATCCAGCACTGGTATTGAAATGAAAGGAAAAAATACCAGTGGACGGAACTGAATGGTCTTTCTGTGATGCCCTGAGTGAAGCCAACTTTTCAACTAGTGTGCGTTCTGCGTCACTGGGATTACATAGTTAGACTTAGCAAACAGTGTTTCTAATAATAAGATAACACACATCAAAGGTTATCTCTTCGGATTAAATGAACCGTGGACTTCAACCGGGAGGCTGAACCTTCAATCCTTCCTATAAGGTATCAGTTTTTAAATCTTCCAATTGGTTTTAATTTCTATTTCAATACTACCTTAGATTTGCTACTGTAGTAGGCAAAGTACTGTATTATCACAAGTAGCATGTCAAAATTATGAAGATGCAGATGAAAGACAAATAGTTCCCCATTCAAAAGTTCCAATGGAACCTGGGAACAGGCATGACATTTCCTGTAACACTAAATTGAACTGAAGACGCTAAATCAGCTGTCCCTGATTTGATCCTTAGTGGTTCTATACATTCATTCAAAAACACTGCTGAAATCTATGCCTGTTAAATCTATAAGGATTCAGTTTCTAAATCTTCCACCAATCTGGTTTTATTTTCTATTTTAATATTACTACGTTAGATTAGCTAATGCAGTAGGCAAAGTACTGTATTATCAAATGGTGCATGTCAAAACTGTAAAGATGCAGATAAAAGGTAATAGTTTAATGGGCATGACATTTCCTGAAACACTAAATTGAACTGAAGACACTAAATCAACAGTCCCTAAATTGATCCTTAGTGGTTACTGGTTACTGGTTACTGGTTAATGTCCTTTAACTAGGAAATATGTAAAACGATAATCCTAGATCTAAATGGATTATGTTTCTACCTTTATACGAGTTTTTAACCATCAATTAATACACAATAGACTAGTGACAACATTATAGTATGGGCTCCTTACCTCCAACTATCTCTTGTCTCATTCAGTTATAACTAGTTAGCTACATCTCTCCTGAGAATCTAGTGAGAACTGGGAGTTATAGATGATTCAATACATTAGAAGTATTTGAACCTGTAATCGAAATAGTGGCACAAATATCTTTAAAATAACTTGTATTAGGATTAATGGCTCTTTAGGGCTGAGACAACATAAGATTTTAGTTGTTTTTGTAAATCTAAAGGAGCACTTACGACATGGTTCTTAGGTATCGAGGGTTAAGGAGTTTCAAGCATTTGATGCCAATCATGTGCATGTTAAAGAAAAATCCGTAACGCGTGAAATATTAAATTCAAGGACAAGACTAGCTCTCCCAGTTGTTGATCGTATCTACACCTCAAATGGAAACTTGAAATACAAAAAGATCCGTGAAAAAGTAATCAAATCAAACCTCATATCTTTTGGGATCTTAACATTGACGATAAAGTGATGATCACCTCGAACGGATGGTTTATTGATTTCTGGAACCCCCATGTAAAACATTTTTACAGTTTCTCCAGGTTGAATTCCAGAAGGAATCTGAAGATCTCTCAAACCCTCGACAGTTTCCACCTGAAATTGGTGTAGATTCATCAAACGAATTAACTTCCAAGTAAACATGAATGCACCTAGCTTTTGTTCTATTAAAAATATAAAGATGATTCATGGCTTGCAGCCCCACCCGCCTAAAAACAGATGGGGCTGAAACCTCAAATGAAACCAATAAATTTTATTTGAGCAAGTGACTTGGGCTGAAAGGATGCATAAGAAGAATTAAATGGACATGTATAACCAAAAAGAAAAAAGAAAAGTTTTGATGCAAAGCAAATGTAAGTGACATTTAATCCATGGAACTGACAGCAAATAGATGATATAAAGCTTTGTTAAGTTGAGATAAATTTAGTAGTATGGTTATATTATTTTCACCATTTTAACCAGAATTGTACAACTTTTCCTCTCAACAGTATTTACTTTTTTTTTCCCCTTTTTTCACCCCCTCCAAGTTATCACAAGTAGCCATGTCCCAACTGGAATTTGAACCCTGAACCTTTCCATTTGCGGTGGCAGGAGATACCGATTTAAGCTAGAAGCCCAGTAGGTAGCAAGTTATGACTGTAGTGTTACAAGCTTCTTGTAACGGCACTCTTTATCTAATAGAGCTATCAAATATTTCCGAAGGACAGTTTTCTACATTGATATTATAGGAGCGGCCTGTTTTGGCAACTTAATAGTATCCTAAAAACAGTTACAATTCCTGTTATCTAATAGAACTATCAGCCAATCCTGTTGGTATAATTCTTTAGAAGATTTTTTCCAGGATAAGGCGATTCATTAAAGAATAAGGTGGCTTTCTAGAGATCATTCTAATAGTTGACACAGAGAAGAGAAAGAAGAATCTGCTCCTGTCTGAAGACTTCAAGGCATATGTCAACACACGTCTGCTACTGGCATTGGACAGTTGACTTTCACCGAAATGTCTGGAATGTGCGAACCTTTTTGTACAAACACAAAAATGTGACTTGGAGATATATTCTAAGAAAGTTGGGATTGTAGAGGATTATAACCAAACTTCTATAAAATTCTTTTAAACGGCTCTCGGGTTTCTTTTTAAGAGTATTTCTTGAAAAATAACAAATAAACCACGGAAGGCTGCTTAAGGGAGGAATCCTAGCAACACAGAAGATATTTATAATCCAAATAAGATGCCTCCTACAGAAACTTTTTTGTTGAAAATACAGTCTCAGCCTCAATGATGATTTCAAGCGCCTTCGCTATCACCACACTGAACACTTGCAACATAAAATGCTGGCAAGTGTCAAGACACGCAGTTAAAATTCATATAAAGTAAAATTTATTGAAATGCAACTACAAGAAGTAACAATGCTGTAGCACCAAATAAATTTCTAGGTTACCTAGAAAATAATTATAAATAAAAATTCTGCTAGAGTTCCAGAAAAAACTTGGAATTACAGAACTATCATTGGATGGTAAAAGAATTCCTACTGATTGCATTTTAGGAAGGGTTTTTCTAAAATGTCATTATCAGCTGGGCCGCAAAAGAAATTCATTTCTTCTTTCCTCTTCATTACGGTCATAGAGATTCTGACTAGGATAATACTAGTTGAGGATGATTTTGTCTGGTTCCTGCCTTAGCAAAGTTGGTGTAGCACTATCTAACCTTCAATTTGCTAACAGTGCCTAAATTCTGTAGATGCCTCCCCGTGTATGTATTAAATATTCCCGGGGCATTTTGAGATGCTTTCATAATGCTTCTGATCTGATTAATCTCATCAAAATTGATTAACACCCAGAAAAATGGATAATGTGAAAAAAGTGGTAAATACACTTCCTGCAGTATATGGGTTGTGATTCTGAAGATAGTTAAAAATGGCCTTTACTTTTTCTTTTTCTTTTTTTTTTGATAAGTAAGATTGTATTAAAGCGCCCAAAAGGGGGATGCATCCCACAAAAAACTCACTGACATACTTTTGACCACAAAGAGAATAGAAAAAATAACTGATCTCCATACCCAACCGGCCAATAAGTTGGAGAATGATGAAAATGATTCCATTTTTACCATGTCCTTACAATACTAATCATTAGAGATCCTATACACTTACTAATCTAATATCCGTAAAAAAATTGATCAAAGAAACAAATGGTGACTTCTGCAACTAGAAATTAGGGAGGCATTATTAGATAGAAAACTAGAAACTATTGCATAGCCACCCAGTTAATCATTAATAAGAACATAACAAAAGAAAAAAAAATATTCTTAATTGGTGATATATGCCATACAAAAAGAAGGTTGACACTGACATAAGAAAAACTGATATTCAGATAAAAGAAATATTTTTTGACAATGCATATATCCAAATCAAAGAAGTCCATACAGAAACATGCCAATTTTTTTCCTTAAATTCATTACAGAAATTAGAATGGTAATTACCTTAACATCAGTCCCTAGTATTGCATCGGTATAATCAACATTGATCTTTGAATATAGATTCAGACCATCCCTCCAAATCCCATGTTTTTCGTCAATATGGAGGACTAAAAAGAGATCACCAGCTATGCCCCTGCAATGAAAACCCAGCATCACAAGCTTGTTTTTAGACAAAATTTAAGTTAACAAAGAAAAGGGGTATCTAACATAATGAACTATGCAATTTTATGCATACATAGAGAGAGAGAGAGAGAGAGAGAGAGAGAGAGACACAATTGTTAACGAAGTCAAGCACATAGACATCAAATATAGACTAGAGCAACTGGAGTGAACAGATGATTGCGTATCAAAATATTTTGATCAGAACAAGACAGAGCGTATAGATTTTTTAGTGATCTCTATGTTGCAGGATTTTGTGGCCATAGTCCAAAACAAAGATCCAGCAAAATACTTTTTACAGTTAATAACGACATGCTTTGTGTGTTGGGCCAACAGAATTAAGATATGATTATTTCTAGAATAGAAGAGAAAACCCCAAGCTTTTAGAATACTTCATAATCATTTTGTCCTTAAGTCACTTCTCCACCTTCCCTATAATTAAAAAGAGCTAATATTACCAAGCCCAAACCAAAAAATGGACATGGCCAAAAGACATCCATTCATAGGTCGCTCAGTTAAGCTTTAAACATCTACTATCGTATCTCACATGAGCAAATTCATCATCTTAGTCCACACCTTTCCTTGTCAAAGTTCCCTTCTCCTCGAACTTGCATCGTGCTTCCATCATTCACGCCAGGTGGGATGACCACTTTTATATTTCGCGTTGACCGTACTGTACCAAGGCCACCACATCTTCGGCAATGATCAGTAATTATCTTGCCATCACCACCACATTTTGAGCAAGTAGATACCTAGAAATCACAAAAAAAAAAAAAAAAAAAAAAAAAAAAAAAAAAAAAAAAAAAAAAAAAAAAATCGTCTATACATAAAATGTCAAATATAGGAACTGAAACTAAATAATAGATGGCAGGAAAATGTTGAAGTAGTGTATATCCATTCTACTTGCGCATAAAGGCTTAAAGAAAATCTGAATTACAGAATAGAAATATATACACAGCCAAATTTTCCAATAACCAATTGTATTTCCATGTTGTGTGAAATTACCTGAGACATTATTCCAAAAGGTGTATTATGAGTTTTCATTACTCCTCCTCTACCTCCACAGTCATTACACAATTTGATGGAACTGCTAGATCGGGCGCCTGTTCCACTGCAACTATCACATTTCTCGAAACAAGAAACTTCAAAGTCCCGCTGTCCTCCAAAAATTGATTCTTCAAAGCTCAAATGCATGTCATATCTACAATATAAGGAAACAGAATCAATACATAAGTAAAGGGAAAACCACAAACTAAGCATCCATGAGGCTAAATTTCCAGAGTAATTGATGGATAGGGGAAAAAAAAGGGACTGCAAAAGCATGACCAAACAACATTATAGGGAATCACTATCAGCTTCTAGTTTCTCACGAACAACCCTCCCAGTTTATCTATAATATTGGGACCATAAAAGTTAAGAGGAAAAATCATTGTTTGAACTTCAACTTCCTCTTTCAGCTGAAGTGCTGGGAGTTAGCACTCTAAGGTAGATAGAGCAACATGAAGTGAGCTAATTAATTTTTTCTCTCTCTTTTTTTTTTTATTTTTTATTTTTTTATAATAAAGCTGTCTTTCAACTTCAACTTTTTGATAAGCGAAACAAACATATTTTATGCAACAACTCTTAATGAAGATTCTATCCATAGCTTAACATCATTGCTTGACATCTCAAAATATGATTGAAGTGGGTTAAGTTTATAGTTATGCTGAAAGGATTACTTTTTATAATTTTTGCAGAATTTGTGATAATAACTTATGCAAGTTTCAATAGGAAACTGTAAGCACATTCATCTCGTGGAAGAATAACATATTTTGATCAAGATTGTTTCATTGAAGTTTCCAACTTCCTGTTTTAAGTGCATATATACATGCAGATGAAGTTCACAAATCTTCGCTTGATAATGTACAAATTTTGGCCCCACTAGATTTTTACTAAAGCAACAATCTTAAAACATCATTAGAAATTCCCGACTGACATTACTTCATTTCTGATCATAATCAATGCATCAGAAACTCAAAGATATTTTCTCCCCACCAAAAATCAATATGACAGTCACGCAGTAAAAACAAGGAATACAAGAAAAAAAGAATTCAATGGTGGGAAGAGTAACCCCAAATGACTTGGTACTCTTACCACATGCCAATATGTTTATGCCCAATAGGTTCATTATGATCAGAAAATCGGAATCAAATGCTACCGTTAAATTTTAAATTTTGCCTACACCAACTAATTTGAATGATACGATGAATATCAGATCCTTTAGTACATGTTTATGTCTTACTCACCTACTTTTCTCAAATAACCAAAACCATTACCCAATACAGAGTTCATGATCTTAGAATTGTAGAAGCAAACAATGAAAAATGCAGAGAGAGATAATACCGAACGTCAAGAATCTGGCTGCCCTTATTTCTCATATTGAAGTTAACACCCCCTGGTTCACCACTTCCTCCAAAAAATCCATTTCTCTCGCCAAAAAATGCTCCGAAAATTTCAAAAGGGTCCACCTGAAAATAAGAAGCGTGATCATTACCACTGAGAAGCACTTGAAATAAATAGGGTCCCCAAGTCACAGGAGAACTTAGATGGAATATTTATATTAACACGATAAAGAAAAGCCAACATCGACATTGGAGAGAGTACTTGAGCTTCTTGATCTTACCCCCTGTGAACCACCGTCTGATACATCATATTCCCCTCGTAAACCTGCCTCACCAAAGCGATCATATAAAGATCTCTTTTCATCATCTGATAGAACCTACATAGATGCTTCATTACCACATAAAAACAAAAGGAAGAGCAAGCAAATTATGAAATGCAATAATCAGTAAGCACCTATAAATTCTGTAAATATGATGTCTTAACCATCTCATCAAATTAGCCCAATGTCAATTCATACAAATTGAGATGCAATGAGAAGTAATGTCATTAATACACAGAGCCACAGTACTAGAAATGACACAACATGACAAAAAAAAAAAAAAAAAAAGAAGATCATTGTTTTCTACCTCATATGCAGCACTTATCTCTTTGAACTTTTCTTCAGCCCCAGGAACCTTGTTCATATCCGGATGATACTGTTTCAAAACAGGGACATACATAATATAATAGGTAACCCAAAATCAACATTTGCAAAATGCATATTATCACTAAGTGCAATAATCAGAACCTCCGCAACAACATAATGCAGTTCAATCTTGTAATGTAATCCGAAGATGAAGATGCAAAACTATAACTATATATACTTATGCGTGTGTGTGTGTGTGTGTGTGTGTGTATAAGAAGAAGGAAAGAAAAAGAAAGAAAGGAACCTTGCGAGCAAGTTTGCGGTAAGAGGCCTTGATTTCCTGCAATGTTGCGTTTCTACTGAGATTAAGAGTGGAGTAGTAATCATTAGCGGAATTGAGAGCCCTAATACAAAAGCTGCTGCTGCGGCGACGTGGTGTTGTGGTGATGGAAGGAAATTGATTAGGATTGAAGTGTTGATTTGCTTTGCCAAGAAAACTCAAAGTGTGGAATGAGTTGGAGAGAGAATGTGGTTTTTGGAGAGAATGAGAGGCAGAGGAGTGTTTTGAAATCAAAAGAGAGGAGAAGGAAATTGTAGGGTTTGAATTGAAATTGATGCAGCAGTGGGTTGGGATAATTGGCATAGCTCTACTCACTACTTCTACTTGCTCTCGGAGGAAAGAAAAAAGAAAAGGGGGGTTTTATAATTACTGTAGAGGTTTTGGCTTCCTTCCTTCCTTTCCTCTCACATCGTCTTCTCTTGCCCTCTTCTGTTTGTGTTGGGAAAATGAAGGCAAAAGAGATGAAGAGGGAAATTCTAGAGGGGAGAAAAAAATGCGTGAAGGGCCTGTTTGGCAACTTTTTTTTTTTTTTTTTTTTCATACGAAAAAAAAAGAATATATTTTTGTTATGTTGTGATTTATTTCACAACATTTCAAAACAAAAATAAAACATGAAAAGATGTTTGGATGGTTGTAAAAAAAATATAGTATTTACATTATATTGGTTATTATAAAAAATATAATAATTCGTTTACTATATAAACTTTTATTAAGAAAAAAATAAATCAACAAAAGCAATTCATACATGTGGATCAATCTTCTTTGTGACCGAGTAAGACCAAATTGAATCTGTGATCCCACTAATGAATTTACTCTTCATTTGGGCATATTTGATTAAATTTGTAAAGTTATTTGAATTAGCTCATGTATATATATTTTCCTTCCCTTTGTTTTCGTTAGTAATGCATTTCATTGCATTATGAAGCATCTACCAAAGGAAAATAATTTTATAACCAAGCCAAACATCCGATTCCATGAACTGAACACCAGAAATTTTTCCGTCAAATACTCCCACAAAAATTTGAACTCCCAACCTCATAAGAGGTGAGGTTATAAACTTTAGTGAAATTTTGTTGTTTGTCCCAATCAGCCTATCATTAACTCTCTCCATCATCTCCAATGGTATTTTTTATTTTTTATTTTTTTTGATGACCCAGAGCGCCCCTAGGCATGGCTCTTCGGACCCACTCTTCAGACCCACCCCAAAGGCACCAAACTGGGGATACAGCAGCCGGCCCTACAGCTACAGCACCAGGTTACTCGAGAGTGATAAAGGGGGTGGCAATAATCGATCCCAGGCCATGTGTGTGACCGCTCAAAGACTTCCCAACCGCTCCAAGCCCCCGGGGGCATATCCAATGGTACTTGGCATCAAGCTTCCACAATAAAACTCCAGCTACCCTTTCAATGAATGCAACAACATTGACTGCAGCATAAATGCTATCAGATTGTCACATCGTAGCACAAAACTCAAATCTATCAGATTGTCACATTTTTTTCCCTTTTCAACGAGTGGTTTGTTATCTTAAATGCTACATTAGTGTATTTCAAAACAGATGCGCATTAAGTGCAACGGTTTTCGAGCACAAATTTTGGCCTGTAATCTAAGAACTTCATACATAATCTCCAAGACAAGTTCAGCTCATCGGAGTCAGTTATAGGGAATGCCAAAATCTGTTCATAATACATCAGTTCGCTCCATTAATTTAAATTTCATAATACATCACTTAAGTTAGTTCTAAACAGGGCTAGAAGTCCATTACATTTAGCTGCTGCTCATGTTGCTTTCCTAATGCATCTTGATGTTATGCAGGATATCGTCGTCATCGTCTGCGTTTCTTCTCTGCTTGTTGAAGCTCATCCATTAGTAGATGTGCCACTGATTTGAATCCCATCTCCCGAGCTACAATTTCAGTCCAAACAAATAATTTTTTTTATTACTTATATATCATGAGAGAACTCAATAAATGAAAATGATAACAAAAATACAAACACCTCAAATAATTATATTGACAAACCTTTATATATAGCTATCCCAGTTGGAGCCATCTTCCGCTTCTTTAGGCAAAATGAACTATTGAAAAAAGAGTCGCAGAAAAAATCAGATTTTTGCTGGTGCATAAAGTCTTGTCAAGGATCGCAGATATATAATTGCAAATAACCCTTCTTCAGAAAATGATATGACATTGCAACAAAACAACTCGATCTATAGTAACACCGATGATGTCTAAAAATAGTGGACATACCTATTGCATATCCAATACGGATTCAGTCCTTTTTCTTCTATGCAATGAGGACACATCCATTGCGAGTTTCCTCTCACCTCCTCAATGTCTAGCAGAGAATTATGTAAAAAAAGGTTTTAAAATTCTATTACAATTTCCTTTTTCAAAAGTCCATCATCTGATCATGGCCCAAATGTAATCAACCAAAAACAAAATATATGGATAATAATCTGAACATAGCTCAAAGTCTAATGATTGAAATACTTAATATTCAGTTCATCTTATTATCCGTTGACTGACAATCATCCATTTACTGAGTCCTATACTTGTACATACCTTCGCCATACCTAATCTTGAGACAAGCTCGACAAAGCACACCATTGCTAGAATGACATACTGAACAATCTGTCTTGCCTGCTTAAGAATCATTTGAAGATGTTAAAGTATTCAAATAATTGAAGATAGAGGAGAGAATTTCTGTTCTAACACTCACCCATGCATGGTTGATCAGTATCTAGATTACTGCATCGCTTGCAATCTTCTTCGCCACACAATTTCTTTTGCCTGCATTTGTAAAACCAGGAATGGAGAAGCTTAAGCATACTTTAACATATAAAATCTTTCAAAACCCATATTACATTTTCCTATAAAAAGAAAAGGACCAGCAAACAGACTTAAGTTAAGCTTGCCATTAAACAAACACAACTGAAAAGCGACTGTATAATTTGGGCTCTTAAGGAGTGTTATTCTAATTGTCCAAAAAAGACTACCTTTTTCGATGTGCAAAATTCCCTCACTTGTTTCAAACTCTGTTTGAAACTTGTGAACCAGGAGGGGAAGGAAAAGGAATTGTGGGGAAGTTCATTCCTTCCTTTGTTTTAAAATGTTAAAAATTAAACTGTGCACACACACAGTGCCAGTTTGGCCTTGCTGTGAGAAAGTGACTAAAGTTTAAGCGCTTATATCTGTAGAGGTAACAAAAGAAGTACCGTCTCTTGAAAAGAGGAATAGAATAAACAGTGAAGACATAAACACAGAGATTACAACAATACAGCTTATAAGAAACTCAAATTTTCCTTACTATTGTCAGTGTTGTGTGTATAAAAAACCTCAGTGCATTCATTCACTCCCCATGCCAACCCTCTTCCCAACCCCTCCTGTCCAATCCACAAATCTTCATAACTGATTAAAAATAGTGGGAAATGCGTAGAAGTTTTCAAGGAATGGTACCTGCAGAAGTGGCAGCAAATTCCGAAAACAGGGTCATAGACACTGCCCCTGCCCTTGCTCGCGCAACGCTTAGCTGAATCTTCCGGCAAAAGTTGCAGCAGCTTCTTACCGCTGACTTCCACCAAAGGTGCATTTGCAGGCCTCTTTTCTTCCCATTCACTAGACCAAGTTAACGAACTCTCTTCATTCTCTGCAAAAACCCATCTTTTCTCTAATTATATACTCCATACGAAAAATGAGATATACTCCATCTTTTGTGTGTGTGTGTGTGTGTGTGTGATCAACAAGTAGAAAGATGAGAGTGAGACCTTTTCTTTAATCAAATACTCCATATGAGAAAGAAAAAAAACATGCATTAACACAAGCTCTTTCTAAGAAACAAAAGAAACCCTCCTTTGTGTGTGTTGTGATCAACAGGCAGAAAGATGAGTGTGACACCTTTTGCTGAAGATATCATCAAATTGTCAGAATGGGCGCTTGTTTGCATCAATCGATCAGAACGGCGCAAAGGAGTGCGTTTATAGTCAACTTTACAGTGCTTTCTGACATGGGTCTTCACCGGTTTTGCTGTCGGAGTGACTGATTGGAGGTCCGCGATGGCTTTGTGTACTCCCAAAGACGCCAATCGAGCCTGTCCTTATAATCAACATCACATAAAGTAAATGCAAATACGAGATGGTAAGAATGAAGAGTCTTATAAGAGAGAGAATGAGAGATGGAGAGACCTGGTTCTCCAAAATTCGAGCATTTCTGAGCTCTTCGTAATCGCTCTTTGCTCTCATCGTTCTGTTTAGGCAAATTGAACTATTGAAATATAGTAACAGAAAGAATCAGATTTTTGCTAGTGCATAAAGTCTTGTCCAGGATCCCAGAAATACAATTGCAAAATAACCGTTCCCAAAAGGATATGACATTGCAACTGGAACTATAATAACACCAATGACGTTTATAAATAATGGACATACCTATTGCATATCCAATTCGGATTAAGTCCTTTATCTTCTATGCAATGAGGACACACCCATTGCGCATTTCCTCTCACCTCCTCGATGTCTAGCAAAGAATTACATACAATTTTTTTTAACTTCATTTACAGTTTCCTTTTGTATATGAAAAGTAACTATGCGACAAGTCCATCATCTGATGATGGCCCAAATGTGATCAACAAGAAACAAAAAATATGGATAATGATATGAACATAGCTCCAAGTCTAACGATTGAAATACTTGACATGCACTTTTAGTATCTTATTATCCATTGAATGACAATCATCCGTTTATTGAATCCTACACTTGGACATACCTTCACCAGACCTAACCTCGAGACAAGCTCGACAAAACATACCATTGCTAGAATGACATACTGAACAATCCGTCTTGCCTGCTTAAGAATCATTTGAAGATGTTAAAAGTATTCAAATAATTGAAGATACACAAAGGAATTTATGTTCTAACACTCACCCATGCATGGTTGATCCATATCCAGATTACTGCATTGCTTGCAATCTTCTTCGCCGCACAATTTCTTTTTTCTGCATTTGCAAAACTAGAAATTGTGAAGCTTAAGCATACTTTAACATATAGAAACTTTTAAAACCCACATTACATTCTCCTGTAAAAAGAAAAGGACAAGCAAACAGTCACTTGAGTTAAGCTTGCCATTAAAAAAACATAACTGCAAAGCAAACTGTTTAACTTGAGATTTTAAGGGCAGCTCACTTAGTCTAAGCCACCCATTAATTCTAATCATCCCAAAAGGACAACCTTTTCGATGTGCCCCCCACTTGTTTCAAGCTCTGTTTGGAACTTTTAAACCAGGAGTGGAAGGAAAATGAATTGTATGGAAGTTCATTTTTTCCTTTGTTGAAGTGATTAATTTAATCTGTGAACACACACGGAGTGTCTTATTGGCCTTGCTTTGAGTCTGACTGAAGTTAAAGCGCTTATATCTCTAGAGCTATCAAAAAAGTGTTGTCTCTTCTTGAAAAGAGGAAGGACAATGCTATTCAAACATAATAGTCTAACCGAAAGTTCTAACTGAGGGATTTTTATTCCTGGGATGAATTGGATAACTTTGACCTTATCCAATTCATCCAAGGGATACAATTTCCTCGATTAAGACTTTCGGGTTAAACTACTAGGTGTGAGAATCATTATTCAAAGAGGACAATGCTATTTAAAGATAGAGTTTACAGCAACACCACTTATAAGTAACTCAAAAGTTCCTACTGTTGCGTGTATAAAAACCTCGGAGCATTCTTCATTCCCTATGCCACAACCCTCTTCCCACCCACCCCCCCTCTCCAAACCCCAAATCTTAATAACTGGTTGAAAATAGTCAGAAAGGAATGGTACCGGCAGAAGTGGCAGCAAATTCCCTTGCTTGTGCAACTCTTGGCTGAATCTTCCGGCAAAAGTTGCTGCAACTTTGTACTGCTGAGTCCCACTAAAGGTGCATTTGCAGTCCTATTGTCTTCCCCTTCACTAGACAAACTTAACGAACTCTCCTCGTTCTCTGCCAAAAAAAAAAACATGCATTAGCCATTAGCACAAGCCCTTCGAAAGAAACCCCAAAATTATTTAATAAATAATTTTTTTTTTAAAAAAAAAAAAAAAAACAAACAAACACTCGTGTGTCATCAAGAAGCAGAGATATGAGAATGAGACCTGCATAAGATATCACCAAATTGGCAGAATTTTCTCTCAACCGAGTGGAGCGCCGCAATGGGGTCTGCTCAGGTTCTGAATGGGCGCTTATTATTTGTATCAACCGATTGGAACGGCGCAAAGGAGTGCGTTCATAGTCGACTTTAGGGTACTTCCTGGCATGGGTCTTCGCCGGTTTTGCCGTCGAAGTGACCGATCGGAGGTCCGAGATGGATTTGTGTACTCCGAGAGACGCCAATCGAGTCTGTTCTTAGGATCAAAATCACATAAACAAAATGCAGATATGAGATGTTAAGAATGACGGGGTTATAGTAGAGAAAGGATGAGAGAGACAGACCTTATTCTCCAAAATTCGAGCATTTCTGAGATCTTCGTAATCGCTCTTTGTTCTAAGCCTTCCCATTGTTCTGTTTCAATTCATCAAAATGGTAGTACTAAAGAGCCAAAGCCTCTCGAGTTTAGGGTTTATGAGAGACTGTCACTTTGAATTAGTTTGTGGTCTAACGGCTAGTGATTCAATAAAGTGAATCTCAGCTCTTGATTTATCCAATCAGTTGTACTATTGAGGTACGGTACCCTCAACTTTTTGAAAATTATTCATTTGTTTTGGAACCAACAATATTGCCTTTTAATTAGATGTTAATTTCTTTTATAATTCTTCATAAAACTTCAAAAGACAATTTTTAAATTCAACCTCCTAGATGAATGAGGAAGAGCAAGGATGAGATATTAACGGGTGTATCATTAATTTAAGAAAAATTTTAAACTTGTTGACGGATAAATATAGGAGGTGAGTTATTGTGGTAAGCTCCATACTTATATTTTTTAATAAATTTTTAATTTTTATTGAGCTCTCATTTTTCAAAATCCCGTCCTATGTGGCAAAATTTAATGACATATATATATTCCTCCAAGCTAAATTGGATTTAATGGGGATGACGAATTGACATTCTTAAGTACACTTCCATAGAGAATTGGTTAATTTTCTTGAAGTAACTTCAAACCCTAAATCATCTTCAAGAACTCATGCATAGTCACTTGTGAGATGCCTTGTAGGATTGGGGTTGGGCAGGTCCCATGGTTTAATGCTAAATATCTGCCATTAAAAACAAATTTGTCCTCTCCTGTGCTAACAATCCAAAAGGACCAGAACTCATTCATAACCAGCAAGATTGCACAATAATCTGAATGATTTTGCATGAACTGTTCCCATTTGAAGGATGGACAAGTTAAAAGTTGTTCCTAAGAATCCCAAACCACGACATTTCAATGAGATTAAAGCAATAGCTGAATATTCTTGATTTACTTTTAGAAGTAAACAGAGGATATATCAGTGTCCACCCTCAAAACCTAGTTACATCAAATTTCAATCCATCGATTTCCTTTCCCAAGCAGTCCCAGTTTTATAAAGATTTTTTCGGCCATTGGCAATTCAGACCTTTCCAAGTCCTATAATAAACTGATTCCAATCTTAAACTGATTGCAGGAAAATCCTTTTCGAGAAAATATATATATATATATATATATATATATATATATTACTTAAAAAGGGAAAAAAAATTGAGAAAAATATTTTAAGTCGAAACAAACGAAGCCCTTAAATCCAAATCCAAGATACATCTTGATATTCTATATATAAGCATGACTGAGGATACATTTTCCCCCTATAAAGACAAGAACCAAATATGATATGAGATCAATCAACAGGAAAAGAATTATCAATTCAGATAATGAATAATCTTAGTACGTCATAGGGATGTAAACTCATCAGCAAGGCAGTTCGGAATTCAAGTGCCATGGCCTTTCAGATCATCTCACAAGAGTTTCGAATATCTAACTTCATTTTACCATGACCAAAATTAATGCATGCTGCTTAAATCGTTCACATTCACTAATTCAACCAAATACGAAAACAAAGAGAATTTTCAAATGTATGTCTTCACTAAGTTGAACTTCTAATCTCATATGAATAACTTTGGTCGAAAATTGGCAATCCAAGGATGGAACAACTGACTGGGATAGTCCCCATTAACTAACACGGCCACCATCAAATTCCTCTCCATTGTGAGCCACAATGCACATTAAGGACAATAATGAGTGTTCATTGGCCGAATAATTTCTTCAACTGAAGGTCGAACAATCAGTACCATTCAACCTTCCAACAATATCATGTGCAGTGGTTAGTAACTGGAGTCCAACAATATCATCTGAATCTAGTTATTCAAATAGCTAACAAGGATTGTAAATATTGCTTTAGGTACTATTCCATATTTAAGGAAGTTTGGAGGGAAAATCTGGATAACAATAAAGATCCAGTCAAGTAATATTGAAAACCAATCATAGGAGTGAGAAAGGATCAGAGTAAAGAACAAAACTCAAATCCAAAATGTAATATAAACTGTCACATTTTTACCCTTTTCAACAAAGATAGGAGTGGTTTGTATCATGATACTCCCCATATCTAACAAGAGAAAACAAGTAATTGAAATACACTAGTTTGTTCTGCCATAACCAACTTTCTCTTTCAGATGCTAAGCATGCATTACAACACAGTTCATTACCCTTCAGAAGTCTGGGAACATTGCAGTCAAGTCAAAAATATAAAATCTTGATACCAGTATATGAGTGCATGTAATTAATTTCAGTTGGACACTGAATTATCTTGGAGGAACTATAAGCTATCAATTTCCAAGTCATAACAGGTATGGAGAGGTATAGGTAAGTACAAATTTGTGCCTGTAATCTAAGAACTTGTTATAAAATCTCGTAGACAAGTTCAGCTCATCGGAGTCAGGTCTAGGGAATGCCAAAATCAGTTCTTCATTAGTTTAAATTTCATAATTTGTACATATAGATCACTGCAGTAACTCTAAACAGGGCTAGAAGTCATTACATTTAGCTGTGCTCATCATGTTGCTATCCTAATACATCTTGGTGTTAGCATGATATCTTCCTCAACATCAGCGTTTCTCTGCTCGTTGAAGCTCATCCATTAGTAGATGTGCCACTGATTTGAATCCCATCTCCCGAGCTACAAGTTCAGTCCAAACAAAAAAAAATTTTATTGATTATATCATGAGAGAACTCAATAAATGAAGTTAATAGCAAAAAACATACACCTCAATTAATTAACCTGACAAACCTTTATGTATAGTTACCGAAGCCATCTTCCGCTTCCTTAGGCAAATTGTACTATTGAAAAAGAGTCACGAGAAAAATCAGATTTTTGCAGTGCAAAAAGCCAAAAAGTCTTGACAACAATTACAGAAATACAATTGCTAATAACCATTCTTCAAAAAATGATATGACATTGCAACAAAACAACTTGAACTATAATAACACCAATGACGTCTAATGACAATGATGGACATACCTATTACATATCCAATATGGATTCAGTCCTTTTTCTTCTACGCAATGAGGACACGTCCATTGCGCATTTCCTCTGACCTCCTCAAGTTCTAGCAGAGAATTACGTAAAAAAATGTTTTTAAATTCTTTTACAGTTTCAATTTGCATATAAAAAGTAACCGTGCAGGGATCATGGCCCAAATGTGATGAACCAAAAACAAAAAATATGGATAATAATCTGAACATAGCTCGAAGAATAATGATTGAGACACTTAATAGGTAGTTTACGTATCTTATTATCCATTGACTGAAAATCATCCATTTATTGGGTCCTATACTTAGACATACCTTCACCATACCTAATCTTGAGACAAGCTCGGCAAAGCACGCCATTTCTAGAATGACATACTGAACAATCTGTCTTGCCTGCTTAAGAATCATTTGAAGATGTTAAAGTATTCAAATAATTGAAGATATAGGAGAGAATTTCTGTTCTAACACTCACCCATGCATGGTTGATCTGTATCTAGATTGCTGCATCGCTTGCAATCTTCTTCGCCACACAATTTCGTTTGCCTGCATTTGTAAAACCGGGAATGGTGAAGCTCAAGTATAACATATAAAAACTTTTAAAACCCGCATTACATTTTTTCCTAAAAAAAGAAAAGGACTAGTAAACAGATTTGAGTTAAGCTTGCCATTAAAAAAAATAAAAACAACTGCAAAGCAACTGTATAATTTGAGCTCTTAATGGCACCTCACATGATTTAAGAACCCATTGATTCTAATCATTCGAAAAGGACTACCTTTTTCGATGTGCAAGATTTCCCCCATTTGTAGGGGAAGGAAAAGAAATTGTAGGGAAGTTCATTCTTTCCTTTGTTCTGAAGTGTTAAAAATTATACTATGAACACACACAGAGAGACAGAGCGTGTGCCTGCTTGGCCTTGCTGTGAGAATGTGACTAATGACTAAAATTTAAGCGCTTATATGTGCAGAGCTTTCAAAAAGTGTGAAGACACACACAGATAAATTACAACAATACAACTTCTAAGAAACTAAAAAATTTCCTTACTGTTATCAGTGTTGTGTGTATAAAAACCTCAGTGCATTCATTCACTCCCCGTGCCACTGCTAACAACCATCTACTCCAAAAACTTAAACTATTAGAGTAATTTTTAAATCTTTCAACACGCCGCCTCACACGTGGCCTTCTTTTGATCCAACAAGTGTTTCAATTTTTTAATTATAGGGTGACTTTGATATTTGAACTCAAGACATTTGGCTCTAATACCATATTAACTACCACCTACTCTAAAAGAGTAAGCTGTTATAGTAATATTTAAATCCTTCACCAGCCACAACCCTCTTCCCACCCACCCACCCCATCCTCTCCAACCCCCAAACCTTCTTAACTGATTAAAAATGGTGGGAAATGCATAGAAGTTTTAGAGGATTGGTACCTGCACGAGTGGCAGATAATTCCGAATCTTAGCCGAATTTTCCAACCCGTGCTTGGGCAATGCTTTGCCGATTCTTCGGGCAAAAGTTGCAGCGGCTTCGCACCGCTGACTCCCACCAAAGGTGCATTTGCAGGCCTCTTTTCTTCCCCGTCACCAGACCAAGTTAACGAACTCTACTCTTTTTCTGAAAAAAAAAAACCCCACATTTTCTCTAATCAAATACTCCTTATGAGCAGGGGAAAAAAAACTCCTGTGTGCGATCAACAAGCAGAAAGATGAGAGAGAGACCTTTTGCTGTAGATATCACCAAATAGTCAAAATCTGTTCTCAACCGAGTGGAGCGCTGCAATGGGGTCTGCTCAGGTTCTAAATCGACGCTTATTTGCTTCAACCGATTGGAACGGCGCGAAAGAGTGCGTTCATAGTCGACTTTAGGGTCCTTTCTGACATGATTCTTCGCGGGTTTTGCCACCGATCGGAGGTCCAAGATGGTTTTGTGTACTCCGAGAGACGCCAATCGAGCCTGTTCTTAAAATCAACATCACATAAACAAAATGTACATATGAGATATTAAGAATGAAGGGTCATAATAGAGAGAGAATGAGAGTGACAGACCTTATTCTCCAAAATTCGAGCATTTCTGAGATCTTCGTAATCGCCCTTTGTTCTGAACCTTCTCATCGTTCTGTTTCAATTCAAAATGGTACTAAGAGCCAAAACCTCTCGAGTTACGCTATGTTTGGTAGGATGGGTTTGAAGGGAGTTACGCTACGTTCGGTAGGATGGGTTTGAAGAGGGAGGATAACATTAGTTATAAGGAAAAGGGAAGGAAATGATAAGTTTAATCCTCAATCCTGTTTGGTTGATTAATGAAGGAAAAGAAATAGAAGGATAACAATCATGTTTGGGAAAAGAAAGGAAAGGGAAGGATAATAAAAAATTTACTATTATGCCCTTTATATATTTTAAAAGATAAATTTTTAGATTTAAATATGTAACAATATTTTTGCCCCAAGATTCGGTTCTAAGGCTCAGTTTGGTAGCAAATGCCACATTCATCTTCTCTTTCCAAATCAATATTTCAAAACTCAATAGTACTTAACTAATTTATGCAGTGGTATTGAGGCTAAGCAGCCCAACTTTGCCATGAGAAAATCTGCTCGTGTGCAGCTGATTAAGAATGGGAAGAAGATCGCTGCATTTGTACCCAATGATAGTTGCTTAAACTATAGTCTCCTCAATATAGTTTAGTGTAGATCTTCTTTAATGTATCAAATCTTATAAAAGGAGCCGGCTCAAGTAAAAGTGGAGGAGGCTCCAATATGAATGGAGCAGGCTCTACTTTAAGTAGAGGAGGCTCCAATATGAGTAGAGCAGGCTCCCAATTACTAGATTTTCCTTCAAGCAAGTAACAACAGAGAAAAGTAAAAAAATGATCATTAATTTAATCTTTAAATTTGGCTTCTTACTTTTTTGGGTGAGAGGGGTTTGATCACAAATGTAATCAATGATGATCAACAACATAAAACAGTAAGTTAGGTTCTTTCTGACTTTATTTAAAAAAAAAAAAAACTTAACAACCCAAGGCATGAAGTGGATCGAACATACAGATCCACCAATTTCTTGCAAATACCATATCTTCAACTGAAAAGAATCAAAGACACCAAAAGATTCTATAGTGAATTATGTTTGTGCTAATTTCGACTAAAAATTAAGAGCAGGAATATATATAAATTGAAGAGGGAATTTCATGGATTTAACATACCAGTGAAGGAACCCATCATATGGAAGAATTCGCCCAAAGCAAGATGAAGTCTCCTAAGTCAGTTTGCTCTCTGGAATGTTTCAATAATGACCCCAAATTAGGAAGTATCGAAATATAATGGGAATAGGACACTTGAAGGGAGCCGGCTCAACCATGATCATGGAGCCGGCTCTTATGGGTTTTTGAGAGGTGCCGAGTGAAATAGGAAGGATGTAGATGAGTGGAGCCGGCTCTTCCTTTTTGTGGAGCCGGCTCCACATTTTTTTTGGAGCCGCCTCAAGTAGTTGCTGGAGCCGGCTCTCTTGGGCATTTGAGAAATCCCGAGAGTTGGTGTATGCAGGCCAATAAAGGAGCCGGCTCAACCTATTTCTAGAGGCGGCTCTTCTTGGAGATGCCGAGAGCATGGATTTAGGAAATTTAAGGAGCCGTTACAAACCTTTCCCTTCTATCTCTATCATCAACTTCCTCCTCCGGCACAGAGACCATGCAGTGAACCCACTTCCCCTTCTCTCTCTCCCATACGTGAACCCACTTCCCCCTTTTCTCTCTCCTATTTCTTCTTATACCAGTGAATTTTGGCGCCTTTGTTCCCGCGCTGAATATACGCCTTCCTTTGTTCCCGCGCAGAATACAGGCCCTAATATGAAGAGCAAATTTGAGGGTAAAATTGGCCTAACAAATATTTTGTATGCCATTGCCTTCCCTTTCCTTCCTTATCCTCCCAATTTTGGAAGGTTAAAAAATTACTGTACGTTGCTTATAAATAACCCTCCAAACCCCTCCCTCTCCTTCCCTTTCCCTCCACTAACTTTACCCAAACATAATTTTTTATTACCCTCCGTCCCCTTCCCTTCCCTTTCCCTTCAAACCCATCCTACCAAACTGACCCTCAGGGTTTACGAGACTCTTGTCACTTTTGAATTAGTTTGTGGTCTAACAACGGCTCTTGAGTTATGTACGGGGTATACTGGGAAAAAAAATGAGTTTCAGGCTGAAAAAATAAAATAAAAAATTATCCAATGAGATATTGAGAAGGGTAAATTATACCGAGGAACGAGGTCCTGATGTTTGGAAAAATGTTTATTATTTTGACGTCAATCGGTTCATTGATGATTGATGGGTGACTTTGTGTGAAAAGTTAAAAATGTTATTTTATTATAATAATATATTATATTTTATTTTATTAAAAATAATAATAATAATGACAAAATTATCATTTGTAAAATTTAATCAATAGATCAGTCAAAAGAAAACATAATAAGTGTTAAACTTCAAAAGATGTTAAAGTAATAAATACTGAATAATTTACACATGTATATAATTTATCCAAACTTAAAGAAAGTCAACTTAATTTATTTTATTGAAAAATTACTTATATCTTACTTTTAAGGTTGTGGTATACCATTCTTAAAGAGCACATTTAATAGTTTCCAGAGAAAAATATGATCATTTGTTTTTCAACCATCAATATCATCTTTTAATTGGAGATTGATTTCTTTATTAATTCTTGTTAAAAGTTAAAAGGCCAATTTTCAATTTGAAGCTGAATCATTGGTGATAAAGAAGGCAAAAATGTTGATGAGAAAAATAAAGAGAAAAAAAATTATAATCACAAGGTAAATTCTACAGGTTTGGATTAATAAAAGAGGCCTCTCCTTGCCAAATCATGAGCCACATAAAATAGAATATGAGAGCTCACAAGTCTCTGATTCCAAAAGAGATTCTTGGTAATACCAGCTTGTTTGCAAAACATTATCAAAGGTTTCTTGGTAATACCAATTGTTTACAAAATATTATCAAATGTTATAGTTTAGAGATTTTCTTGTCTTTCAGAATAGAAAAGTGGAGAGTTCAAATTCACTTAAGAACAAGTGAATGAAATGTTAAGGTTTCAAATTCTCGTAAAAGTAAGTGGGTGAGTGATTGTGTTTCTTACCAATATAATTTTTTTTTTTTTTTTGCAAAACATCTAAAAACCATTCAACACTATTGAAGTCCTCTTTGATGGCCTAAAGGAGGCAAATTTTAATGAAACACAGTATAACTCAGAATGAAGAGGGGAGCTGGAATGTTTAAAGTGGATGTTACCAGAGGAGAAAAAGGCACAAAGACTAAATGATACAATTTTTTTACTATTATTAATATTCCTCCAAGCTAAATTGGATTTAATGGGGATGATGAATTGAGAATACTTAAATTTTCTCCAAGTAACTTCAAACCCTAAATCATCTTCTAGAACTCATGCAAATTCACAATTTTATTTTTGCCTTCTTTATAAGTTGTGAAATACCTTTTAGGATTAGGGTTAGGTAGGTCCCATGGAACAATGCCAAATATAAGCCATTTTAGAGCAAATTTGTCATTTCACTGTAATAACAATCCAAAAGGACCAAAACTCATTCATAACCAGTAAGATTGCACAATTATCTGAATCACTTTGCAGGAACTGCTCACATTGGAAGGGAGAAAGGCTTTTTTTGCACCCGGCTAATACTACGTAATCCGTACCATCAACTTTTCACGGCTTTAGTTCAGTGAGTTCTTTACATACCAGTATTTTGGGATGGCAATGGGGCGGTGATCTCATTCCTAGTCCCCTTCCCCATTTAATTTTTTCACCCCCATAACCGCCCCAAAATCCACCGGGTATTTCAATGTAGCTCCTATCCCCGTACCCATTTACATAATCAATTTCCCAAAACCGCCCCAAACGGGGCAGGGTGGGGTTTTTTCCCATCTCTACTCATGGTTTTCTTTTTTCAACAATACTTCATACATGACAGAAACGAAATGAGAGCTAAGTTTCCTCCTCCGTGTGTGTGTATATAGCACCTATTTTAATAATATATCATAGTATGCAAAGGTAATTTAATAAATTTATAATATATTTGGGGCGGAGCAACCCTCCCCCGAAACCGCCCCAAAACCCGCTGGGTTTTTCAAAGCAGCTCTATCCCCGCTCCCATTTACATAATCGATTTCCCAAAACCTCCCAAACGGGGCAAGGCAGCCCCCTGCTGGGGTAGGGATTTTTGCCATCACTATCAGTATTTTAACAAAAACAGGAGCAATAAAGTATTTCCCACTGGAAGGATGGACAAGTTAAAAGTTCATCCCAAGTATCCCAAACCATGACATTTCACTGAGATTAAAGCAATAGCTAATATGCATTTAAATCCAAAATCAAGATACATTTTGAAGTTCTGAATACAAGCATATGCTTGAGGATACATTTTCCTACTATAAAGACAACAACCAAATATGGCATCAGATCAATCAACTGGAAAAATTTATCAATTCAGATAATGAAATAATCTTAGTACATCATAGAAAGCAAGTTTGAGCCACAATTTTGTTCTCATTTGATCAGGACCAACATCAGCCTTACATTGTTCCAACTTGGGGCGCATTATGCAACCCGAAAACAAAAATCATGAAGAGACAAATAATTATATTTATATAAATAAAAGAATCGAGTAACAAATGCAACATCTGACTAAGTTCTGTTTCTAATTCTCAAAGAACAAACTCCGAGTTCTCCATCTTTCGGAGATCTGAAAGAATAAAAGAATCAATGTACAAATTGTACATCCTCTAAGTTCTGCCTCTAATTTAAGAACAACAATATTTGCGTTCTCAAAGCAACACTTTTTTTTGTGGTTGCAGATCTAATGAAAGGTGGAAGAGCACCTGAATGATTCTCCCTCAGCTAACGAGGCAACGATCAACTTCTTCTTCTCCATTTTGGGATACAATGCTCATTCTCGGCTCTTCTGTTAAAAATTCTAACCCACAAGGTCTTTGATTTTCTTCCTCCTTTGGTTGCGGATGCTTGAGCCGGCAAACTAACCTATCTAGAGCTTCCTTCATCCACAAATGGTCACATGCTTCTCTAGCTTCCTTCGCCGTCATCTACATGATATATATAATGCTATATAAGTTGAGGGCTCATACTGTGACACAATATCAATCAAACAATCTAAGCTCACAAGAATCTAAACATACCCATGCTCGTCGACGGACATTTTCCTCAGGCCAAGAATCTAACAACTCCGTAACACGCAAAGGGAACATGTGCCCGTCATGAAATGTGCCTTGACTTTTGCTCTTGAAACTCCAGTTGCCTAACTTATGCTGCAAAAACAATCCAATGAAATGGAATTCAATTAGTTAGAGACATACACAAAACACAAATTTTATCGGGAACTGGGCGCTTTACCAAAAACTAGGTCACTGGGTAATGCCCGTACATACAAAACACAACTACACACCCACATATATAAACAGAATTTGCAACAATGTTTTGCCAATGCTTACTTCGACAATGCCGACTGCACCGGCTTCTTCTAGGGTTTCTCGTGAAGCTGCCTGTTCCATAGACTCATCAATTTCCCAACCACCCTGACAATTACATTGCAATGTACACTATGTTAGCTAATGAAATATATAAGTTATATAACCAAAAAAAATGAAATAACTCCACAGTACAGATTCAAATAACTACATAATGAAGAAAATGAACCAATTTATATACTTTGATTAACATGTATAGATATAGAAGTACCTTGGGGAACATCATCCTTTCACTCTTCTGCGAAGAGATGAGAAGAAATTCTAGTTCTTCTACGTGGGTCCCACCAATAGAAGAAAACTGATTGGTTTTCTTATATCTGTACGGAATGCATCTGCACAATTTTGAAATTTAACCAAAAAAACAAAAATTAGATTTATAATCTGAGACCACAACAGCATCAGGGAACAAACCCAGTAAATAAAATTATATTACTCTTCACTTTCCTTAATATTCTTAGAAACCAACCAAAGGAAAAAGGAAAATTCTTTAACCCAAAAATGAAAACATAAAATTCAGACATTAATCAAAAGGGGAACATCAAAATTGAAGAGGTATAACCATTAGGAAACAATTAATTTTTCTGATCATTTTAACTTTCCCAAGAAAATTTACTTCAATTTCTTTAGGAGGAAAGGAAAGGAAAAAGAAAAGAAATCATAAAAAATCAAAGAATCGAATGACTCACCCTACAACCTGACGACAGCCTTGATCGTAGCGTTGGAATTGCCTCCCCGTACGAGAAGGCGTAGATGCCATTTTCCTCCGAATTGGCAAAGCAAATATTGTCGCAGCAGGGAAAGGGGAAAGGGGAAAGGGAAAAGGAGAAAGGAAGGGAAAGGAAATGGATTGTGAGTAGCAGAAAAAGAAGATGGCTTTGATTTAGTTGGAATCCCTAATATCCTCCAACTCTGCGTTTGGCATAATCAGTTATATTCTATAATTGGATTGTGAGGAGGTTGTCTTGCCCCTCTTCGGATATCATAGTTACATACTAATCTATATATAATCTATCTATAGATACGCACACATATAGATATATGGAGAGAGAGGGAGTAATAAATGATTAGAGAGCGTGTGTTTGCCTAACCCGTACGTGTTGACGCACCCTTAAACCGCGTCGAGATTCAAGACTCTCTCTCACTCGGTTCCATTTTGTTGTTGACTCTTTCTTTGGGTAAAGTCTCTATCTTTGTGTTTTTGACTTTTCATGATAACAATTCATGTTAGACCTTACAACTAGTGGTATCAAGTTATTAGAGAGTAACTTACCACTGCATTACCTTTCTAGCCCTATATATATAAATGTATAGCTGTATATATATATATATATAGTCGAGCTTATCCAAATCATTCTTGTACCATTCTTTTTCCTTTTTTTCTTTTTTGTTTTTTTATTTATTTATACAAAGGTTCTTACTTTTTAGAGAATTGATTTGATTTAAGTTTACCTCGAACCCAAACTAAGTTGATCTGTGTGCAATTCTTTATACAAATACCTATTCATTGACACGTATTTCGTGTTGTTCGACTAAAAATGCTAGATTACTGACAGTAAATTGAGGAAATCTATACACAAATTAAGATATACTGTTTCGGGCTGTCAAATATAGATTGGAGAAATAGTTGTTGTTGACCTTGTATCAAACCAGACGAGAAACCAAGTTGACCATTGTAATCAGAAAATCTAAATGCTGACTCTGAAAAAAAAAATTTGAATTTGAATTCAACTACTATAATATATACTATATATATATTACTATATGCATAGAAGACAGAACAAAGAGGTGGCCAGGATTAACATGGCATTAAATTATTAAAAATGATTTTAAGAAATTAATATTATAAAAGAGATGACATGTAATTTACATGTCATCTCTTTTTCCTTTTTTTCTACTATAATATATACTATATATATATTACTATATGCATAGAAGACAGAACAAAGAGGTGGCCAGGATTAACATGGCATTAAATTATTAAAAATGATTTTAAGAAATTAATATTATAAAAGAGATGACATGTAATTTATAAAAAATAAATATTAATACAGTATTTCATCCCTCCCAAAAATAAGTGTTCTTTTTTTAAAAAATTGAACTTTTTAAGAGAGTAATTTTTTTTTTTTAATTACTCTAATTGTGAATGAATTATTAAATTTATCTCAAGTGAGTCCACTGATAGTTGGTTCAATACAAGATGATTAAATGGATAATATTATTAAATAATAATTTTTAAATAGGACATTTATTTTGAAACAAATAAAAATAAAAAAGTAGTGAAAACTTATTTTGAGACAAAAGGAGTAATAAATATAATCTATTCACATGATATTAAGAGAAAGGTGAGATATTTCGTTCTAAGTAGTATAGCAGCGTTGGTATGTGGTAGGGATTGAAAGCACTTCTAACTTAAATGATTTTAAGAAGAGGAGTTCCAACCATGATGTGGTTGACGGAATATTTATTTATTAAAAATTAACAATCACATGACGTAAGAAGTGAGATCACTTTTTTAACTTTTCTTTTTGTCATATAATGTAGCAAATTTTGTATGTGGTTCTTACATATGATAAAATAAATAAACAAAGGTTTTATGTTCGTAAAGTATACCTTTCATTGCTCTTAATGTTATATCTCCTTACTTTAGACCTCAACTTTGTATAGTTGACATCAAATGAGTCTAAATAGTCATATAAAAATAGGTAGGAATAGATAAAACATGCCATATAAACAAAGACTTACTTTATTTAATTACAAAGCACAATTAAATAAGGGAATTATATTTAGTCAACAATAAATATTCAACGTCCTTATACAACTCCCAAAAGAAAGTTTGTTGAAAACAAAAAAATCAATTAATTAATGGATAGGGTGTGTGAAGGAGGTTTCCCTTAGGAAAAAATAAGGAGGTTTCCCTGATGCCCACATGGAGAATGGAGACCAGTCCACACTTTCTGAAATTAATATATATCCAACTACATTATTTTTTTTTTGGTGTGGGCTGAAGGAAATAGATCAAATTTTCTGCTTGGATTTAGGCTTTTTTGGGTAGATTGAGTTCGGCCACATAAGGGCGAGACCCGCCTGAATATGCTCATTTTAGGTTTGGGGCAAGCCCATATTGGGTTGCAGGCTCCAATCTCATTCTAATGTGTCACGTGTGAAATGTAACAATTAGGCCTGTCAATAGTTCGGATTTAAATCAAATCAATTAAATCCATATTCAATTTATTATGCAAACGGATTATCGGATTCGGATCACTAACGAATTCTCAAACTGAATGTCTCAATCGTATCCTATTTAGTTCGGACTCATATCAGATCGGATTCGACATCGGATTAAAAATAATATTTACTAACATATATAATAATAAAGAGTATGATTTTATTAGTATTTGTACTAAGAGATTTATTAACATATGGATGAGTACACCACAATATTTATATATAACATTATTATTATTATTATTATTTTGGATTTTTGGGTTACCTCTAATACATTTATAATAAGAGTATTGATATATATATATATATATATATATATATATATATATATGTATAATCCATATCTGATTTGTTAAGCTAACGGATCGAATCGAATCAACATAATCCATATCCGATTTGTTAAGCTAACGGATTATCGGATTCGGATCGTAACCGAGTTATCGGAATTTTTGTTCAATCCATAACCGACTAATCAGATCGGATCCGGATCAGGATCCGCTTCATTGACAGGTTTAGTAACAACGTTATTTAATAAAGTAACACTAATTCATATGGATGCCTTTTTTTTCTTTTCTGTTTTTTTTTTTTTGTTACCCAGCATGGTGAAATGATAATAGTTTTGTACTTTCATAATTTAAAAGCAATTTTTTTTTTTTATAATCATATTTTTTTTTTCTTAATTTTCTTTTGGGAGGCAATATTGGACTGCACTACTTGATAAATGCATACCGCTTATTTAGGAAACAAAAAAAATATATATATACACAACACATTTAAAGTTAAATGACATATTTGTTTCTAAGATGGTAATTTAGAATCAGGGACAGTTATATATATATATATATATACACATTGGTGGAGTGTGGATATAGCTTCACTTCTTCTTTCGTCGTGATTTTGGAAGAACAAATCATTTTCATTGTATAAGCATTTCACGAAGCAAAAAGAAAATGTCTTACGCGTGCAAGTGATTTCAAATAACCTAATCTATATCTATACTAATCTATATCTATATATTTACTATTTTTCTAAAAGTGTAAGGAATGACTTAACATTTTTAAATTTTTTAAAAATATAAAATAATTTTTATTAAATACTTTACATTATATTATATATTTATATACTATTTAGAATTTCAATAACCACATAGGACTAATGAGTCATCGCTATGTATAAAAGTTAAAAATTTCCAATAGCCACGAATGATTTATTAGTGTATATATTTTTTATTACTATTATTTCTATACATTTTCAACAATTTTGAATTAGAGTATTTTTTTAAAAGGTTAAAACAAACCGTTAATAGGAGTACCTTTTAAAACTAAATTACATTTCTTATTTTTTATTTATAAACTATAGACCCTTTCTATACATTGTTCAACAATTTTGAATTACACTATTTATAAAAAAAATGTTTAAAACAAAGAGTTAATATAAGTATCTTTTAAAACTAAATACACACATGCCGAAATTATTGTCTATATATACTTATATATAAAAGGGTATATATTTATAATAATTTTTATATATTTTCAACAATTTTTAATAACTTATATTTTTTTTAAAGGTTAAAACAAAGTGTTAATAGTAACAACTTTTCAAACTAAATTACCTCTTAAAGTTTTTTTTATTAAAGTATAGACCCTTTCTTTTTCTTAACGCACATATAATGACCCTTCCTAAAATTAATACATTTCAAGATAAATTAATTTTATTAATTTCTTTCTTAAATCACTAGTGTATTTATTTTTCTTAGTTGAGACTTACACACACTACCTCCATTGAGGTTTGAACCCCCGACCTCTCTTAGGAAGTATGAGTCTTTTTATTTATTTTTTCAATAGTCATTCGTATTATTCTTCAAACACTAATTCACTGGTGGAAAAAAAAAAAATATTAAATCACCACGTGCATTGCACGTAAATTTTGGTAGTAGTGAATAAATTATCAAATATGTTCATAATGGGCCTGATTTACCTTTTATAAGTGCAATACTAGAATATTAAATTGTTAATGTTACAAAAAATATATATATATATATATAGTAAGACATTTATTTTGAGATAGAAAAAAATGAAATGGTAGATTCCATTAACTTTTTACTTTTAGGCTCTATTTGTTTGGATATAAAATAAAATATTTTTCAGAAAATATTTTTTTATTTTCTGGTGTTTGGTTATTATAAAATATTTACGAAGAAAAAATACAATATTAAAATTTAACAAAAATAATTTATTCATAAATTTTTGACAAGTTGTTTTACATGTCCTACTCGATGGACTCGACCTCAATTTCAATTTTAACGTAGACTTTTGCCAAATACCAAAAAAATAAAAATAAAAATAAAAAAATATTTTATCTGAAAAAACAAAATATTTTTTAAACCTTCAAAATAAATGGAGCCTTAATTATTTTTAAAAAATTGTATTCTTGTGAACTCCTTAAGGTACCGATTCTCTTATAAACAGTTATTGAATTTAACTCACGTAAACGAAATAGCAAACTGGTAAAATCATATTGACATTATATGGTGAGCCCATTCTCCACTCACATGGTTCCTTAAATTATTAACTATCTGGGTGAGTAACTTCCACTGTCCTTCGTCATTTGGTGAATTGGTGGGACTTTGTTTGCAGCGTGATTTTTAAGTCGGTGATTGGGAAACCTACAAACCGACCAACCGACCGACCGACTGTTGAAAAACGTGAGTTGGTTAGGTGCGCCCAAAATCGCATTTCTGTGCGATCAAAGGACACCTGGCTTCCCACCACAGTTCACATCTACATGACTTTGCTCCACTTGATTTGGAAAAAAAAAATATTGGGGTTGTCAAAAAGTGTCTTATCCGATACT